TTTATATATATATATATATATATATATATATATATATATCATGTATAATAAAATCTATTGAGATTATATTAACATTTGATCGTATCGGAACTAAATTTTATATAAAAAAATATATTTATTGTGACTTTTATAGATGAAATTCGGAAAGAGTAAAAACTAATAAAAATTCGAAATGATATTATTTCCCTAAAAAAAATTCAAAACAACTAAACCGACGTATCCATCCATCCATATGTGTAATTAGGAGATTCTGGAAGCCATGTTTGAAATGGAGCATCCATGCATGCGTGTATGATTTCATGCAAATTTACAATTAGTAAAATAATAAATTAAGCCCACGTCGGTCGTCAAAAGCTAGTGTACTTTTTTCTTGTTATTTGTCAATCCTAGCCATCTACATATATGTATAATATATAATATAATTTGACTTTGGAAGCCCATTTCATTAAGTGGTTCAATCAATAGGTTAAAGTGTTAATTACAATAATCGAGACGAGAGTGATCAATAATCCAAGCATAAACAATTCCATGATAATTTGTTTAATCACGTTTGAAAATTCGCATTAGAGAAATATAAAGTTATTACATCCAAATTATTTAACAAAAGCAATTCAGAATATATATATATCCACTAATCTCTACCAAAGTAATTCAGTAGTTGATCACACGATGGAATATGAGATTTGTCTTATTTAATCTCCGGTTCCATAAAAAAAATTATTTTATTTATTTCCAATCTGAGTATCTGTAATTATATATAAAACAAATTAATGTTATAAAAAAGAATTAACTTTATCATCTTCACATTATTATCTACGTAAACCATGATAGCAAATAATTAGATAAAAATGCATGCATATGTAAACGTGTATGTATACATACACACACACACATATATATATATATATGGCCCGACTAAACCAAAGTATAAGACAGGGTTACAATATCAGGGTCCCAGGTTAGTCCAAAATTAATTTTCAACGCGTTTCCCCGTAAACCCTCTTTCTTGGCCTTTTGTCGTCACATAAACCTTTTCTCTCTTGTTTGTGTTTATTGTTTTTTTTTAATATTTTTTTTTTGTGGGGTAAGCTATTAGATTTTATTGGAGATTTGGTTTGAGAAAAGCCGCTTGGAAGGTTAAGTTAGGGTTTGATATATCTTTGAGATATGTAAAAGTGAATTTAATTAATTGTGATTTTAAAAAATAAATGGGTATATTTTTATAGCCATATTAATTCAATTTGAATCGAAAGTTAAAATAATTGAACAAATTAGATAAAAAAATATTCTTTTTTTAATAAAATAAATACATTAATCCGTTGTGAACCCAACCAATATAGAATTTGAATCGAACCCAAAATATAAAATTTTGAACAAAAGTATAGGTCATAGTAGTAGTGGTTTTCACAAAATAAATATTATAGAAATTCATTTAATATGCATTGTGAAAGTCTTTTACATGGGAAGGAAGGAAGGTGGACACTAGACTTAATCATGTCACCTACATATTAGATATTATTGGACTTCATTTTTATATTAAAAAGCAAGAGCGAGAAAATAAAATATGATATTTTTTGAAAATAAAGAGAATAATTCGTGTGGACCTCCTAACGTTTTAAATAATTTAATATTACGATTCCAGTAATGGAAAATTATGATGCTTGGACCAATTGATACGTTGGTCCATCCTTCATATTGGTTAAACTAAAGCGGTGTATACACTCTTTAGTGCCCAAAAAGAAACTTCTTTTCTTTTTTCCCAACTAATATATTATCTTTTTCAACTTTGGACCGACCGAGATGGGTTTCTTGTTTCAATGTTTTTATATGTTGCCGAACATTAATATTATTATTAATTGCGATTAATTAGTAAACTTATGTAAGCTAGCCATTTGTCACTAGAAAGCAAAAGGGTAGAAAAGATAAAGAGGATTGACATTATTGATTTGGAATCCTCACGAACGAGTAAGACCACAAGAAACCTAGACGAAATTGATCCGATGATCTTCTAATTTATATTTTAGATTTAGCTTCACTATATGTGTATATATATAGTATATGTATGTATGTAGGCCTACCGCTCTATTTAAACTTTAATTCAAAGTTCATAAATTCACGGGCCCCATCAGTGTGAAGCTTTCTGCATTGGATATTTGGTACCTGCAATTCAATATGAATTTAAGATTCTCTCTCTCTCTATATATGTATATGTTTTTATGTCGTGAAACTGTATGTTTCTATAGAGCCGTTGAGATGAAGTTTGGTTAAAATTGGTCATATTTGTATAATATAAAATACACATGCGTGTGCGTATTTATAATTCGATTGTTTTATATTTTTTAAGATAGATAAATTTTAAAAAAAAATGTGTACACGATGTAAATTTATTGTCAAAAGCTATATTCAGAATCGTTCAAAAAAAAAAAAAAAGAAGCAATACCCGGTTAGTATTTTAATATCATATGTACATGTATATAAAAAAGTAGATTAAAATGTAATACTTATGCACATAAACATAAATATATACGAATGCATGTAATAAGCGAGATATTTTTTTTTATTACATACGAGATATTGAGAGTCGACCCATTAAGTGCATTGATGACATGAAACATATATGCCCAATCATAAAATCTGTCCTGCAATACAAATCGAGAAAAAGCAATGAATGGTTGCACATGGCACAACATGCTATGTGGGCTTTGTGATGGTTCTCTTCACCTAACTCAAATCCAATCTTACTGAGTTTTCAGATCTAATCTACAGTAACAATGTATACACAGACAGCACAATGTCCTAACAGAAATTTCATAGATTAAAGGAGTGTAAGATCCACAAGGCCAGAGTCTGTCTCTTCCAATTGATCCAAGAAGATTCACACCCTGTCATCAAAAGAATCGGGCAAGATGATCCTATACTTTGATGAAACCCAACCAGGAGAATCTGCCCATTAAAGAAAACGCCCAAAGATGACATCTTTTTATCTGTTTCCTCGATCTTTCTTACTTCTATACAGCTCACTGACTAGTGACTTGTAAGAGGCTAAGTCAGCTACGACCCCTCTCTCACCCTTAAGTTCATCGAGGTTGGCAGCATTTACGTGTCTATAGTGGCCTTCTAAGAGAATATTGTAGGTGATATCGTCCGGAACGACCCCTAAATTAAGCATGGAATCTAACAACATATCGGCGTTTTTCATCTGTCCTAACTTGCAGAGCCCATTGAGCAGGACGTTATAAGTTACAACACTAGGAACATGCCCATCCCTCTGCATTTCCTTGAGCAGCTTAAAACCCATCTTAACATCTCCTTTCTTACAGAATCCATCCATAATCATGGTGTAAGTGATATCATCTGGTTTCTTACCGTTTCTCAACATCTCTCGCAGTGTTCTTTCTGCATCTATAACTCTTTCTTCCCTGCACATTCCCGAAATAAGAGCTGCAAAAGCCATACTATCAAGTTCAGTCCCATTCTGATCCATTTCCTTTCTTATCTCCAAAGCTGTTTCCAAATCTCCTCCTTTGCAATATCCGTCTATGAGTGTTGTGTACGTAACTTTGTCTGGCCTCAAACCCCTCTGAATCATTTCATCAACAATCTTCCTTGCTGTCACCACATCACCATTCTTGCAAAAACCATTTATGAGGGTATTATACAGAACAATATCGGGTTGTAGTCCCCTAAGTAGCATCTTCTGATAAATCTCTGTCATCAAATCGATCTTTCCGTTCCTACTCTGCCCGTGAATCAGAGTAGTGAAAGTAATATCATTCGGGGTCAATCCTCTCACACACATCTCGTCAAATATCCGATGTGCATCATCCATTCTGTTGTCTTTGCACAATCCATTGATTAAAACACTATACGTGAAAACATCAGGCCGTATTCTGTTCTCTTCCATAACTCGTTTGAGCCTAAACCCTTCATCTAAGTTACCACTCTTACAGTATCCATTAATCAAAGTATTGAAACTGACCACCGTAGGCCGCAATCTTCTACTCGGCATTTCATCGAACACCATCTGGGCATCACTGATCTTGCCTTCTTTACAGAACTTATTCATCAAAATGTTGAAAACGTACACATTTGGCGGAAACCCAGAATCCAAAATCTCCATATAGAATCCCCAAACGTTTCTAGTCGGATTCGAATTCATCATACGATCAAGCAAATTACCACAGCCACGAACCGGAACTGCAAATTTATGCTTCCGAGCTAACCTAAAACACTGGATAGCATCCGATAAGAACCCTAGATTCACATACGCGATCATCAAAACATCAACAAGGAAATCAAGCATATGGGTACGTCTCATTTCGGCCAACGAAATGAAAACCGACGAAGCCGAGCTTTTCCCTTTGCGCGAGACCACGAACTCGACAAGTGATTGCGCTTCCGCAAACATTTCGTGGACGGCAAGAAAACGAGCCATAGCGAAGTAGGTCTCAATGGTGAGCCGAAAATCAGGCTGAGAAGACAGAAATCTGAAGAAAGAGAAGACCGAACGAGGCGGTAGAGAGAGAGGGTTACGGTCGACGAGATCGATAACATGACGAACGTTGAGCAAAGGGAGGAGCTTCTTGATAGAGGCGAAGGCAGAAGAAGAAGATGAAGAGGGCTTCAATGACGGATTCTGGTCAGAATCTCTGATGGCGATTGAGATCTTGAGGAGGACAGGGTCCTCGTCTTCGTAGTGTTGTCCGTGAAAGATTGTTTCTGGAGAGTACCACGTAGAAAAGAGAGATGACGCACGAGAGCGAGAGAGAATCAGTGTTTTTGTTAGGGTTTGAGTTCTGAGCATCTTCGTAACTCTTCTTCACCGGCGGCGACGAAAACTCGGACCATCGGCGACTCTGATGAATGATGATGTGTGGGGTAAAACAATTCGCAACTAATAGTCTAATAGAATCAAATTTCCAAGTCAGCCCCGATATTTTACATTTTATTTGAAAATAACCCTAAAATAATTTCGGCATATTTGGTTTTTATCACTCTTTGGAATTAACATTTTCCTTTGTAAAACGTATCTATTTCATTTTTTTAGTGAATATAGGAAAAACGTTCAACAAATTATAAATTAATAAATTAAAAATTTTACAAAATTTTTAATGTGATAAAAAAATACGCGTTTGCGGTTGTGTTAAAAATTGAAAAGGAAACTGCAAATGCATATTTTTGATTAATTTAACTTTCAATAGTAAAAATAATACGATTTCTTATTTCCACTCTTTGTTCCTGAAAATGTACAATAAAGTTCATCCGAAATTTCAACTAAAATACATCACAAGTGAAAAAAGTTAAAACAAAATAAATAAACCCTCTTATCTTAAAGAAAAAAAATCATCAAACTTCTTTACAACCAATAAAATGTAATTTGGATACGTGGAGAATATATCTCACTTGCCACGAGTAGCCGATCGAATGAGAGCCACCGCTGCCGCCGCCACCTTTCCCGATTTCCGGGAAGACCGTAAGTCCACGTCATCATTCCGGCCACAAACGGTGGTCGGACCCTTCAAAATCAACCTGGCCCACAACTTCCTCTTGTTCACTTCTTTCACAAAGCCTCTAAAATTACCAATATCGCTCCTGTTATGATCATATGGAGTCTTCTTCCTCTCAACAAAACCATGATCATCATTACCATAGCCATGATCATGATCATGATCATGGTCATGTTCATGCAGAAAAATACTTGAAGTTGGACTGACGGGGTAAGTTTCGGGGAGGAGATCATCAAGAAGGCGAGAAAATAGGGTTTGGTTGTGATCATGATCATCGTACCAAAGCGATGATTTGGAAACCCTGTTTTCGGCTAAAACCCTATTTTCGGACAGGATCATGTTCTTGGTGGCTTCGAGTTTGTACCTCGAAGGCCGGGGAGTGATTCTAGATGTGAGTTTAGACAGATCGAACTCTCTCATGATCGGTTTCCCTTCCTTCCTTTGGTACCACGCCCACGCCGCCGCCTTCACCACCGCCAAATCATCGTATCCGCCGCCTCCGGCCACCGTCTCCGGCGCTGGAGCCGGAGACCTCTTCTTCCTCCTCCTCTTGTTGTTTTGGTCCCTCATGTTTGGTGAGGAAATGTCGTAGTTGGCGAATGGAAGCATCGTTCTTAGTGAGTGTCTATTTTTTTTTTGTGGGGGTTTGGTTTTAGTGTTGGGGTCTGTGTGGAATTTGGTGGATACACGTTAATAGTGGCAAAAGGAAAGGCAATAAATTAAAAAAAAAATAAAATAAAAGGGGTAATAATGGTTATGAAAAATTAAATAATAATAATAAAAGTAGTACGTATTTATATATGGGTATTGCTTTTGGGTCCATTGGAGGATATGGAAATCTGAATTATTCCATGGAAAATTCGACATTTATTGCTTTTTCAAGTTGGAAGTCCACAAAAACACTACCGCCGCCCACATCCGTATCCATTTTCTTCCATATATACAAACAAAAATCTATTTAAATTTTTAGTCCGACAGATATTCTTCGAATTTAGGGTAAGAAAACATTTTTTTTATTGACATCCATGAAGCTTTTACATAAAAGCTTTTAATCTCGTAACACAAGAGAACCGTTTAAATGTTTAGAATAAATTCTAATTTTTTACTATCAATATCTAAAAATATAAATATAATTTAAACTAAATATATGAATTTTTATAGAACCTTCTTATTTCTTACATGCAAATATTATTCTATCTAATTATATGTATCCATTCACATAGTATTTTATCAAACAGAGAATACAAAACAAAAATTGAAGTAAATGAAACACCACCATTTATCAGCAGCCGTTCAATATGAAATCATTCAATTTGTAAAAAGGGACAGGATCTTGTGTTAGGTGGGGGGATGGAGAAAAAAATGACATATATAATGATATATTAAAATTATAAAATCAATCATTACAAGGAAAAGAAAAAGCAAATATGTTCTTTTAAAGTATTTTTTTTTTGCGTACAAAAAGAAAATTGTACCCACTGCCCACTAGTGCTAGTTAGTGCATTTGTTTTGTATTAGAATTGGATTAGAATGTCCTTCCTAAGTGATTAAACTTTTTTTTTTAATTAAAATAAGTGATTAAACTTTCAAATATTCTTGTGGGTATATCATTCCATTCCATGGTATTTGCTCATAATTATAATATTATAATATATATATAGATTATCATCACACATCATATCAAATTTTAAATAGTGAACCAAAATAAACGAACAAAAATGCCATAAGGTAATGCCATCAGTACTGGAAACAAAATAATAAAGGGGGAAGATGATATAAAATGTACCCCTTGGAAGCGGCAATGCACTCAAGACAAGACTTAGTCGCGGAATGAAGTTGCAGCCTTCACTGAATGTTTAGCAAAGTGACGGTCCAAGCCCTGCTGCTAAAGGATATACACTCCTTAATTAACAAAATTACAATTTATGTGGGAGAAAATTATTTGACTTTTTCACTCACCAGCATCTATATGAGATCTTCTAACTATACGTAAACATAATCAGAAACAGTTGCAGGAAGGAATCTATCTTGCAAGTCATCCATATCTGCAGAGCTTCAGCAGCAGCAGCAGCAGCAGAAGAAGAAGAAGAAGAAGAACCTTTTGCCTGATAAAGAGGTTTTGAACATACAAGACAATTGTTACCAAATAAGTAAAAATTTAGTTAGGAACTATGTGTCTCACCCCAAGTCACAACTGTTATAGTTGCAATCAGATTCCATCGAATGTTTTCCAGACAATGATCAATACCCAACATCACCAGACCGGAAGATGAAGACAGTCAAAGCTCCAACAACACCGAAACAAATCTAAGATTTCATCTTCTACCAAGAAACTGTCCAACAGATGAGATATCATGTAAACTTTCCTTCATCATTTCACACAAAAAAATGTTACCTCAGAGATCATCTGGCATGCCCTGAACCTAGCGTTCCTGTTGGTTGCAGTGGCAGTGTGGCACCAACAAATAGGATCTTCAAAAACTCCTCCAAGAACCCATCACATTCCAATCCATAATTACAAGCGAATTCCACCGAGAACCCGACAACACGCTCGGTGATGGAATGGAAGCTCCTTGAGTGGTGATCCTCTGCACGAAACTGTTCTGCAAAACATCTTTCGATGGAAGCTTTTCCCTTTCCATGGGTATTTCAGTCACCCTTCTGTCCTGAGGGAAAACACAACAACCACCTAACTCAAAACAATCTCAAAAAAAGTAGATAGATTTAAAAAAGTAAGATTGTTCCACAATCTGTCTGATTAGAGTCTTTTTTGTTAACAGGAAGAGGAAAAAAGCTAGCATATACAGAGGAAATATCACTCAACGATTCATTATATGCGCACCATCACTCTGTCATTGTGATACTTACTGGAAAACTTAATTCATGTCAGCAGGTTCTAATATATATATATATACAGACCCGAATGCTTATCTGTATTCGTTACCAGTACACTAACCGTTTTCTCCTTGTGCTTTCTTCCTGGTTATCGTAGAAACCCTCAAAGCAACGAAATACTGCAACTGCAAGAACAAAACCTTTCATATGAATTGAAACATTCCTATTAAGTTCTTAATCTAATAATATAAAGCAAAGGGGCACAAGCTATATTTATGTAGGGAGAAATGCACCAAATAGAGTTGCTTCAAACATGAGTGTTCGAAGGGATGATGTAAGTATTGATAAACATGTTAGAAGCTAAATATTGTTCTATAACATAAACACGGGTGGCACTAACCTTGCTGATTTGCTTGAAAGATCAGTCATACAGGGCCTATCGACTTATCCAACTGCAACCACATATCTTTTTAATGCCAGTCTCTTTCATTCTGTCCCTAAGTTGAGCGACATCAGGCCACCGTCCTGAAGTTGCCCAGATATTCGAGAGAAGCACAAAATTACCGGCATTTTGTGGTTCAAGCTCAATGAGCCTGTTTGCAGCTATTTCTCCTATCTCATTATTGCAATGTAGATTACAAGCATTGAGAAGAGCCCCCCAAACACAAGCATGAGGTTCCACAGGCATGGCCATTATAAGCTCATAAGCCTCTTGGAGCTTCCCCGACCGTCCAAGAAGATCCACAACGCAGGCATAATGATCAGGTGATGCAGCGATCGAATATTCGTTTTGAATTAACCCGAAATACCTTAAACCCTCATCAACAAGCCCGGCATGGCTACACGCAGTCAAAATCACCGTGAATGCAGCTTTGTCAGGAATTATACCCTCGTTTATCATTTTTTCGAACAACTGAACAGCTAGATCTCCACGTCCATGTATATTCAATCCTTGCATCATTGAACAGTATGAAATAAGATCCCGTCTAGGCATCTTCTCGAACAATTTGAGCGCTCTATCCAAGTCACCACATTTTGCATTCATGTCTATCCAAGCCGCCATAACGTGCTGCTGACTAGACAATTTGACAGAGCTTTGGCACAAATAAGAATTCAGAGATTGACACAACTCTAAACTGCCCAGCTGAGAACAAGCTGCCATCACACTTGTAATGATAAACTCATCAGGCACAATGTTAAGGTCGCGCATTCTGAGATAAATCTTCATGGCCTCACTAGGCTGACCATTCTGAACATATCCCGATATTAATGCTGACCACGCCACAATATCAACATCCCCTGCTTGCTCGAACAAAACCGTCGCAGAAGCCATATCACCTTTCTTAGCATACCCATCAATCATGGATGTATAAGACTTTATGTCTCTCTCAGGCATTTTATCGAAAACTTTCCTAGCATTCACCAAGTCCCCGGCTTTTGCCAACCCATCTATCAAGGCATTCCATGATCTCGCATTCCGGTGAGGCATAAGATCAAACACCTTCTTTGCTTCTTCCAAGTTCCCAACTTTCACATACGCTACAAGCAATGCAGTCCAAGAAACCACATTTCTGTCGGGCATTTCCCCAAACACCTTGCGAGCGCTCAGAATGTCGCTGCATTTGCCGTATAAATCAACCAAACTCGACGCGATATACACATCCTTATCAAACCCAAGTCTCAGAATCAACCCGTGAACCGCCGAGCCAAAGGGGGCATGTTCCAGGCTCGAACACACCTTCAATACCTTAGAGAAAGTGTAGTCATCAGCTTCCGCAACACCTTCCCTCCTCATACGCATGAAAAGCGACAGAGACTCCAAAAAGAGAGACCTTTGAGCGTACCCGCCAATCAGACAGTTCCATAGAAGCGTACAGGGCTGAGAAATTCGATCGAAGACAGAAGAAGAATACGAAGGAGACGAAGACGAGGAGAGTAACATAGAAATGAGATAACGGTCTTGCTCGAGACCTTTGCGGATGATTCGGGTATGAACTTGTTGAAGCTGAGATTCGGTTTTGCATCGCTTGAGGAGGGTTACGATTGACGGCGGCGACGGAAGAGATGAAGATGATGATGACGACGATGATGACCGGAGGATCATCGGCGCGCTTGGAATGCTGAAGAAGAACCCTTTTGAGAACAAAAAACCTCCGACAGATTTTACCATATATATGAGTCCTGTCCGTGAACTTCTCGCTTCTACCACTTTTGACCCTCTTCGGTAAAAATCACAGACAATGGAAGTTTTAGGTTTCGATATGGTTTCCACTGCGTTATTTTTCTGATTGCTGTTCTTCGATCCTGGAAAAAGAAATTTTCGATATAATATTTTTTATAGAGACAAAAGGACTCCTTTTTTTTTATCATGTTTAAACAAGTTTCAAGGGTTTGATAGAATTAAGGTTTATGTTTGCTTGCGACAAAAGAAAATCTAAGTTTAAGGACACAAAAATCGAATCTAATATCACATTTTCCCTTCTTAGCAAAACAAGGATGACAAATTTGTAAACACTAATTCTCAAATATTTCACATATTCTCTCAATTTGTAATCTTTATTACCGGGAAAAAAAAAATTTCTGAAGCAAGGTGCACTCCTGCTCAATACCATACCTGGTTTCAAGAGAAAACCGTCAATAAAAAATCAGAATTTAACGATAAAAAGAACCCGTGAAAACGTCAAGAAAACAGAGGATTCGGTATCTGACCATGTCTCCTCGGCCACAACATCAGGGTGGCTAAAGATCTTAGCTGCAGAGTGTCTCTTGTTCGTGGGAATCGACTCTCCTTGAGGAGTGTACGTATCACACATGACCTGACCATGTCCGATATTATCGAAAACTGCAAGCATCCGATAGAACTGAACTGAAAGACAGCCAATGGAACTTGCCTGAGAGAATCAAGAAACCCACAAGAATGTTGTTGCCTCTGCAGAACGGGTCTCGGAAGATCGCTTGAGGGCTAAGATACAGAGACAGGATGAGGGTTGATTGGAAGATATAGAATTTGACACTTGGCGGAAACGATGAATCCCAGAGCAGACAGACGTTCAGAAGTTGAAAGCGTGCAGAGGAAAAAACAATTGATGCATTCAAAGGCTTGAAAATGCATTCAAATGCTTACCGAGAGATATAGAAGAAACATTCGAACCCTCACGCAGCCGTTTTGCAAGAACCCCAAGAAAGTGACAGGCTTTGGCGGAAAACTCCATTGACAGATCAGATTGACACGAGAGAGAAGAAAAAACAGAGACTGATCAAAACCGACAGTCGCATCGAAGCCCCAATTCGGACGCGGCCGGAAGGACTCCAAGAAAACCCAGAATCGAAGGAACTGTCAAAGGCAATAATGGTGATGGGCCGTCGTGAAACGGAGAAGGAAGAGGAAGAAGGATGAGTTCTTCTCAGAAGAGATCGGGACCGAGAGTTCGGGGTTCTGGCCTCCCCTCTCTCTGGGTGGGTCTTAAATAAGGATCAAAGGATATATTAAATTTTAAATTTTAAATTTTCAACCGTTGACAGCAAAACAAAGAGAGATTAATTTTTATTAATTTGTAATTAATTTATCACAAACACAAATATCTATCTCCGTGTTGCCATTTTAAATAATGTAACATTATAAGAAAAACAAGTCTTTATAGAGAAAAAATAGTTTTTATTTTATTTTTTATTTTGGATATTTTAAATCAAAATATATAATACTTTGAATATTTGATATCACATTGAATTAAAATCCATACTAATTAAAGATAAAATAAATGAAAAAATAAAATGCAATGGTTAAGAGAGAATAATGACTTTTTCTCAAACAGCTATTTAATACCTCAAAAATGAGTTATTTAGTACAAAGACAGGTAACAAGAACATGGCTCACACAATGAACAATGGAAACCAGAAAACTACAGGACACCGGCAACATCACCCGGCACAGAGTACTTGGAACTTGTAAGGAGAACACAAGACATGAATGAACAGACAGAGAATCCAAACATCTTTCTGGTTATTTTCCTTAGAGAAAAACAGAGAAAATTCTTCATGGGTTCCAGAGGATTGTGGTCTCTGCAATCATGGAAGTGACTACATACGGATCCATGTTCGAAGCCGGCCTCCTGTCCTCGAAGTACCCTTTCCCCGCTTTCTCGGTATCACGTCCGACACGAATCGACGCTCCTCTGTTCGCCACGCCCTTTTTTCGAAGAAAAAATATGGGACAGAAAAAGAACATATGATTTTCAGTTTCTGAACTGTGAAAATGTATCAGACAGGAGAGTGTTTCATTAGGTTAAACACTCTCAACTCACCCAGAGGAAAGTGTTGATATCTGCCGTCTCGTGGCGTCCGGTGAGACGCCGTTCATTGCCTTCACCGTAGGCTGCAATGTGATCCTTGTGCCTCATCTCGAGCTTCTTGATCGCCTTCTTGATCACCTCGTACCCTCCTTCTTCCCTCATCGATTTGGTACTGAAAAACCGTTCCACTTTTGGTTTCAGAAAACACGAGGGATCGAAAGGACAAAGATTTATTTACGAGATTCATGAGTAGAGGGCAGTTTGTTTCACCTGTAATTGGTGTGAGCACCTGCACCGTTCCAATCTCCAGGGATTGGCTTCGGGTCGAAAGATAGCACCACACCAGCAATCTCTGTAATCCTCTGTTCTTGAACAAGTGGAATGTGTAAAGAAAATTTTCGTTGGACCGACTTTTGAAGTAAATCTAAGTCAAAAACTCGATGTTACGTTACCTCCAGAATGTAACGAGCGATCCAGAGTTCATCACCAGCCGAGATCCCGACAGAAGGGCCAACTTGGAACTCCCACTGTTTCAACTCAACATAAAGGATTTTGGCTATAAGTACTTCTCAGAGAAGAGAAAACGGCGAATTTCTCTACAGAAGATTTGAACTTTAGCTCAAAGATCGAAACTTTCTCTGCTTTCGGTGAGATTACCTGACCAGGCATGACCTCTCCATTGATGCCACTGATGTTGATTCCGGCGTAAAGGCAGGCCTTGTAGTGAGAATCCACAATGTCTCTTCCAAAAGACTTGTCAGCTCCAACAGCACAGTAGTATGGTCCCTGCAAGAAGATTTCAAGAAACTCAGACAAAAGAACAAATAAAACGGACAAAAACCCGTGATCGATGTTATAGATTTCATCACCTGTGGCCCGGGATAGCCGCCGACGGGCCATCCAAGAGGCCAGTTCACATCTTTCTGAAGCAAGGTGTACTCCTGCTCAATACCATACCTGGTTTGAAGAGAAAACCATCAATTAAAAATACGAATTTAACGATCAGAAAAAACCCGTGAAATCGTCGAGAAAACAGAGGATTTGGTATCTGACCAGGTCTCCTCGGCCACAACATCAGGGTGGCTAAAGATCTTAGCTGCAGAGTGTCTCTTGTTCGTAGGAATCGGCTCTCCTTGAGGAGTGTAAGTATCACACATGACCTGACCATATCCGATATTATCGAAAACTGTAAGCATCCGACAGAACTGAACTGAAAGACAGCTAATGGAACTTGTCTGAGAGAATCAAGAAACTCACAAGAATGTTGTTGCCTCTGCGAAAGGGGTCTCGGAAGATCGCTTGAGGGCTAAGATACAGAGTCAAGATGACCATTAATTGCAAGAAAATGGATGTGTCGAGGAAAAATATCAAAGGGGCTTACTATAAGATCACTTCACTGTCTTCACCAGGAGCTTGCCGTGTGCTTGAACCGTCGTAGTTCCATTTCGGGAGTTTTGAAGGATCAGTCACTGGTCCAGAGAGGGTCTGAAGAAATTAAATGGATTCGAAAGTTAGATTTTGATTCGAACACGATAAAGATTCAAACTTTGAACTACGGATTAAAGAGCTGGAAAGGCCGTTCTGAAGAACAGTGAGTGTGGAGCAACTTTCTTGAGAAAGTTTTCAGATTTTTTACAGACAAGTTATCTGCCGCTATTCTGCTTCTGGTGAAAATTTTCCAGGAAAATTTCCAACTTTCCATCCGGGTACATGAACAACAACAAGAGGAGAGAAAAGTTACCCTGGCCTTGCTTCTCATGTCCATTCCGGAGCCACCAACCCTAATGGGAAAAAAATCAAAGAACACAAACGAGAAACCAGATCAATCGACAGAACAAAAACCACGGGATGAAAAGTGAAATTTTCCATGGAAAAACCAGAGTTTGTACAACCATTTTCAGAGATTCAGACTCATCTAAGAACAGAAGAATGGGTTTAGAGGATTATCAGAGAAAATGGTGAATTAGAAATCGCAAGAACAATCCACAGTCCTGTCCTTTTCCAGTAGAATTTTCAGAGCAAGAAGGAGAAAATCTGCAGAACTTCTGGTTATAATTCAAATCACGAGACAAATGTCCCAAGGAAAGCCAAAAGACACGTCCCGACAAACAATAAATATCACGCCTTTCGACCCAAAGCCCCGACTTTCTCGGATTTTCTCAGCAACCAAACAGGAAAAGATAAACCACAACGAAAAATCAAGAACCGCAAAGAAAAAAAAAAAGGGTCTCCCCAGAAACCGATAAGAAAAACTCCATTGACGGACACCAGTTCGAAATACAGATAAGCTAAAGCGCAGATACAAACACGCATGAATTACAAACATATACACACACATACACATTCGGAAAAAAAAAAATCAGAGACAGAAGGAGAAGAACACGAACCATATGTACTCAGCAATGATTTTCTCAGTGCTGTCCGAGAGGTTAAGGTTAACGAGATCCGAGAGAAGACTCATGGTTGCCGAACCTTTTGTAAGAGAAACACCAACAAAAAAAAGTTTTTTTTTATTAAGGGGTGTTTGGTTTCTGTGTTGCTGCTTCTGATGGAGTTTGGTGATTATGGGTTATCGAGTACTTATAGTACAAAGGCAGGGAGCAAGGAGATTGGTGTAGGAAGGTGACGTGAACAATGAGAAGACTTTTTTTTCTGCAAATAAAAATTATTATTTTTTCCTTTAGAAGAATAGTGTTTCTTATTTTTCAATGGAATCTCTTCTATATAATTAATCGAATTAATTACACTTTTTTGGTACTGTTATGATTTTCACCTTTTTACAAATTGAATGATTTTCTTTGCTTGTTCTGTTTTTTTTTTGTCCACGGACACATATAAGGTAGGTTTCGATGGATATTTTCATATTTCATTCATCTTTTAATTTTATTTTTTATTCTATTTTTAGTTTTAATAAATTATACCACAGGGTTTAATATTAGATTTATATCCGGTTAAAATTCGATTTTTTCTACAAAAATAATTATTATTTTGTAAAAGATCTGACAATGCTATATACCAAAAATCTAGTCAAAATTAGTTGAACACATCATTAATAAATTAAAATTTCATTATTGGAAAAAAAATTAAAAATGTATTCATAAGTTTATCTTTCAGTTCACATCAATTCAAATGTTCTTTTGGTCCATAAGTTACTCTTTTGAAAAAATTACAACAAAATCAATTTTCATTTCTCCAATTACTATGTCAACTTTGAAATATATATATACACACAATTCATTGGGCAAAGTATGCCCAATTCTCCAATAATATATAATTATTCTTTTAAATAAATAATAATGTATTTGAATGTTTCAATATATATATATATATATATATATATATATATATATATAATGCGCACGTTTCGTCTCTCTTTTAGATGTGTGTTGAATGCATATATATGTATACACAGTAACACAAAAGCTTACATGTGTGTTGAATGCATATATGATGTATAAAAGCCAAAGGGATGTTTTGTCTTGTAAGCTCTTAAATGATAATGCTACTAAATGTGGCAAAATAACAGAAAGTTATCATCAAATACATATATTGAATTTGAATTTTCATAATTGATAGATTAAATATTAACTATTAAACTAAAATAATAATAAAAATAAGAACAAATTTTATTTTATTGTACACAAAAAAACCCCTGAAATCCAAAGTCTCTTGGATTCAAAAGTCAACATGCGTGGGACTTTGTATAATTTGCATAATTTTTCTCTTTTGGGATTCAGAATACTGTGGGTCTAAAACCTCTCGACACCGGAATTCGCATAGTTGACTCGTGACACCCTATCATTAAAATTTGTAATTTTTTAATTCACTAATCACAGATATTAATTCTATATAATTTATACATATACATTTTATACAAACTCTTGGGTTTATATACGATTCTATGTAATATTAAGTTTGAAATTTTAATTTTATAATTACAATTGAATTACTAAATCCCGTCGAAATTTAATCATATATTTTTCTGACTATGTTTTTTTCACGATCTATTTATCATGTTAACTATATGTTTGTCTATACACACTAGAGTATATTAAATATTTTTTTTCTGAAAGGATAAATAAATCGAAATCACGGTAATAAAAGTTTTGGATCATAAAATGTGTAATATAAATTTGTTTTCATACTATTTTAATCGTTCAATAGAAGGCATCATATTTTTTTTAGTTATTTTAATGTTCCAACTTAAATGAAATAATATCAATACAAATTAGTCTATGTTTTTATTATTATGGAATTTTTGTCATTGCATGCGTATCATCAATATATATATATATATATATATTTGGTTGATCCATTATCAATAATAAAAATTAAAAATACAAATAAAAAATACAAATCTGAGTACTATGCAAGGAAACATTAAATGAAGTGGATAAAAATAGTATAGATTTTTAAAAATATTGTATAATCGTGGAAGAATGAGATTGAATCGTACTATAAAAACTAATTATGTGATATATATATTATGTGATAATATATTAGGAATGATTTTTCTAAAAAAATTAATTGATCCTCGACTTGCAGTAAAGGTTGCAACTTGTGTTTATTTCAACTACCCAAAATTCCTTTACAAGGAATACAACAATTGACTCAATAATAATATGCATCATTATCAGAAATTACTTTTACGCTACTTTAGTAATTGAACGATTATTTGTATGGATTGAAATTAATTAAGATATGAATTTAAAAGTTATAAAAACACTATTGGAGATTATAAATTAAAATTTTCGGTAATAGATGAAAACAATTTAATTAGTCAATACAAAATTTTTAAAAATATATAAATGAAATCAAATATAAATATATAATAACAATAGATTATTTTAAAAAATATTTTTATTCTTTTTTCAGTTTTGAAAAAAAAAATACAATATACGTAATTACTAATTACGACTCCACGATTATATATATGCCCGAAATCTGTGGCTCAATGTAATATTATTAGCTCACATGACTATTATATATTGACACTGACTATTATCAAAGGGTAAAGATGTGTTAAAAATGGTAATGTATTAATTACGTATTTTGTATAAAAAATTAAAAATCCTAATCTTATTAAAATAAGTCGAAGAGAGTTTTACCAACAAAAAAAAAAGTCGAAGAGAGAGCCCAACAATTTACTTAATCCTATTAAAATAGTCGTAGGGGCCCCACAAAAATTGAATAAAATATTGTTTTGAGCGAATATTTTGTGATATTTTAAATAGATACGAAGTCAACAGATATGTAATGTAATCATTTCTCAAGTGTGACAAAAAAAAAATCATTTGTCAATTAATATGCAACAATATAAAAACAATAAATTAATTTATCGACGTCATACACGATACATACGTTGAGAATTATAAGTATTTAGACACCTAATTGGTAAGTCTTAATGGAAGTTTAATGATATTTAAATGTATAGTGACGTTCTTAAATAGACTAATTGCATTATTAAATACATTACTTAAAAACAGAATAATAAAATTAGAATCTGAATCTCAACTGATGAAACGAGAATCTAAAGAAAAGTCAAATGTTTGTTGTGTCGTGTTTTGGCATCACATGTATCTGTCTTCTCGCCATCGAGCAGCAGCATCCACGCCTTCACCTGATTTTAATAAACACAATTATACTACTAATTTAACCATTGCTGCTGTAATTATTATTATTATAGTAATAATAATATAATAATTAAAAAAAAATCGTATAAGAATATCCGAATTTTTATAAAATTCTTAAATAAATATGTGAACTATAAAATTTTTAAATAAATATCTGAATTTTTAAAACTTTCACATGCATACTCAAACTTTTCAAAATTTACCAAATAAAACCAAAATTTATTAATGACGTTAAATTTATAATAGAATTCGTCGATAATTGATGATTTAACCGTCAATAAATATTGTTTTATTTGATAATTTTTTTAAAAATTTGGGTATTTATGTGGAAGTTTTGAAAAGTTCGATTATTTATCTGAAAATTTTATAATTCAGATATTTATTTGAAAATTTTATTAAAGTTCAGGTGTTTATGTAATTTTTCTGATAATTATTATTATTGTTGTTGTTATATTATTATTAGCACAAGTCTTCTCTTACGTCATGATGATCGTTTTCTTTGGTTTGTGACCAATTCCATCCACAAATTTGTTCTCTTTGATTATTTTTTAAATTCCTAATATATTTTTTAAAATGGGATTTTCATAGTGACGAGAAGTGAAAAAAAGGACAGCGTGAGTACTTTTTAAATCGAAATAATATGAATCACTATGTGACGACGTGAATTTTTTTTTTTAAAAACTTTTTTTATTGTCTTAATGGTGCGGACTCTACAAGATGTCATCGATTATGTTTTTATCATCTGTTGAACTGTTATAGAGATTATATTTTTAGGACTTCTAATTTTGTAAATTGAAAAAAATTATTTATAAAAACCAATCATAACCAAAGAAACATTTTATAGGAAAAATAAAGTGAATAAAAATATTCACGAAACTAACAAACCATTAATGATTTGACAAAAAAAAAACAAACAAACCATTAATGACAAAAAAAATTATTGTATGATAATCAATGATAGAAAGAATAAAGGGAAACAAACGGTTTTGAATTTATTGTATTTCAAAAAAATAATTATGATAATTACATTATCTATTATTAGAGTTATATCAAACATAAATGATGTATAAATAATATTTAGATCCCATACTTTTCATGAATTTTAATATACAAGTATTTTTTTAAATAAAAAATAATATCATATGATTAGGTCATAGTAAGGCCACATGCATCCAACCCAAAAATAAATAAAATAAAGAGAAAAAAAAAGAAATTAGGGAAATGCTTTTCTGATCTAAACCTATGGTTTTTGTTTCGGGTTGAATCTGATGCGAATCGTTTCAGATTTCATCATATTCGTTTTTTTTTTCTTTCTTTGAAAGTGATTTATCCTCCAAAATTCCTAAATGTGGAAACTTTTTTTTATCCATCTAACTCATCCCTGAAATATCTAAACCATAAAAGAAATATTATTTTTTCAACTCTATGATTGTTTTTTAATACTATCATCTCTATTCATTTCAATTATTATCTACATGCTTGGTCCGTTTATCTTTTTTTTTTTTTACAAAATAAAACCCACAATTCGATACATATATTGTAAATATCAGCAAATTTGTTCCTCTAAATATTACATAAAACATAAAAATATCAATTTTACAAATCAAAAAATAAATAAATTATGGTGATGGATTTTCTTCCCCTTTTAACAATTTCTTTTTTTTTGGTCCCATAAAACTGAATGGTTCAACATTCAGCATCTACTTTACACCCATTTCAGAAAAGACAAGGTTCACTTTAAATCAGAATATATATATATATATATATATACATATGTATATATATATATATATAAAATCTGTGCACACATGGATAGATAGTCACATTTACCATACAATCCATAGAATATATGAATTGGATGGTCGTAGATAAAAGTCGAAGCAATTATTTTTGCCTATATACACACGCATATATATAGACTCAATGGATGGTTATTGTTTTTTCCACAAAAATTATATTCTGACCTGTTATTACTTTTACACACTATTCAAAATGTTCTTCCTTCCTTTCAATGCATGAGAATAAATCCATAAAATGATTTTATTTTTCAACCGTCCAAAACATTATAATTAATAACTATTTTGTTGACCCTCCCAATAGATTTTTTTTTTAAAATTTCCTATAGGGATATAATCTCTAACATAGAACTGCATTTACCATATATAGAAATGCGTGTACACACTTAATTTCATTTGATAAACACTTTTACGTGGAAAATCATATAGATAACAGATATTTTGAACAGAAAAAGAAAAGAAAAAAAATACTAAAACTCTAATCGGATAAAAAATGGATAACTTGTGGTCAATGACTCGACCTAATCTTTACTGAATTTGTCGATAGGAATGGTCGGTCCAATAAATTGAATGCTGATATATTGTTGTGAACCAAATAGAAAGAAGCGATAATTGGAAAAATACAAATATTACAATATTATGCCCTTTGTTCCACGTACGAACAATTGGATCAAAGCCTTCACAATTTCGTATCAATGACAACAATCGATCAATGATCACATAACGAACGAATTCAATGATTACATATCTTACAATATATCGCATCTACAGTTTCACGTACAAGTACATTCAATTGAAACCCATCATGATCTTTGTCCTCACGGAGACAGGAATCGCGACGTTGTGAGTTCCATCAGTCCAAGTCAAGCTACCAAAGAGATAACCAGTGTTGACTTTATGACTCGTCGAGACACTCACTGTGTAAGAAACCTTCTTTGTCTGAGAATTGAACACCAAAGTCTCTGGTTTCACGACAAGTTTGATCCCGAGAGGAGCTTCCACCACTGCTCTGTACACCGAATCCACCGGTCCGACGTTCGTTACAGTTCTTGTGATGGTTACGTCTTCGTTAAGATACGGGATTGTGATCGAAGGCATGTTAACGTCGAGCATGGAAGGTCTAGGGTTCGGACAAGCTTTGTGTTTTCGTAGTAATCTCCTGATGGACATGTCGTCGAACCCTTCTGCGCACAAGTAATGAGCGTAATCGTGTAACCCTAAGTCGTAGACGAGACCCGGGTCCGATGCTCCTTCCGGGTTGACAAGCCCTCCTCCATAATCGAATGGGTCTGCCATTTTTCGTGGGGATGTCTCCGAGATGATCGGCTCTCCAGATGGGTCGGTCCTCCACGCTTCAATAATGAGAAAAAGATTCGTCACTTGTCTTATTTTCTCTACCGTATAGATCGTTTTCACGTTGAGTATTAGGCAAGAAACGTTATGAAAACCTGTGGTGATGAGAGCAGATTTGATTGCAGCAGGTGACCAGTGAGGGTGTTTCATCTTGAGAAGAGCGACGATTCCAGCCACGGCCGGAGTGGCCATCGATGTACCTGAGTAGAACTCGTATGCTCCAGCCCCGGGGCCAGGTATCGCGGCAAGTATGTTCACTCCCGGAGCAGCGATATCTGGCTGCATTTCCCCCGAAAATCGGGTATTTCAGTACTCATATGGGTTCAAAACGTTCCGAAAACATATCATCACGTACCTTGAGAATGGTTGGAGAGACTGAGTTCGGTCCTCTACACGAGAAGCTCGCAATCTTAGTCGAAATCGGGCCGCCGATTACTGTCTTGGTACGGCTGATTTTCACAACGGGTGATCTGTAAGAATCAGACAGCTCATGTTTCAGACAAGAGGAAGTGTATAATAGCTGATGTGTATAACTTAAGAAAAGAACTTGATGGGTACTTTGTTGTCTGGTAATAGAGTAAAAGATCGCTCCCGAGCTCGTAATCTATGTTGAGGCAAGGAAAGCCCTTGCAACGTTCGAGCTTTTCGTAGGGATTTTGGGCGAAGATTATGCCCTTGCAGCCTTCTTTCTTGATTATGTCTACTATCGGTCCTCTCCCAGACGACGTATCGAAAACCAACACAACTTTACCCTTAAGTTTTCCTTCCATGATGTCCAACGGTTTGATTTCGTCCACCGCAACGAGACCCACGAATCCTGTTTCGGGTCCTTCGAAGAAACCTTCAGCCTGAAAAAACCATTCAAAATCAACAGAGGAGTTCAGACATGTCCTTAGATTTCGTGCGTTAGAAGTTATCGTTATATAATGGAATCCGAGGTGTGTGTGTCTGAAGCAAAAATACATATATGGTTCTGTTGTTTCCAAGCGTCATGGCGGCAATAAAAGCTCGGTCCATATTCGCTGCGGCGACGGTTATAATCCATGGAGCCACGTTATCGACAGTCTGAGAGTTGGGGCCCTCGTTCCCAGCGGCGAAAACCACTGGAATTCCCTTCATGACGGCATGGAACGCGGCCGTGGAGGTGTCTTTCTGATCGACTTCGAAGTTCGCAGGCAATCCTCCTCCAAGAGACAGCGAGATTACATCGACACCGTCTCGTATGCTTTGGTCTATGGCTTTAAGGATGTCCGGAGAAGCACACCTACCACCGTTCCAACAGACCTTGTAAGCGGCGATTCTTGCATGAGGAGCTCCTCCTCTCACGGTCCCAGCCGCATAGCCAAAGCGGCTCACGTTTTGGACGAACGAGCCGGCGGCCGTCGAGGCGCAGTGGGTCCCATGGCCGATCTTGTCTCTCGGGGACATGAAATCGCCGGTTTCTGAAGCGTTGAAGGGTTCGTTGTTTTGTTCTTGAATCAGCCCTTTTATGTAGTACTTTGCTCCTATGAGCTTTTTGTTGCAATGTACCTTCGGGTCGAACTGATCTCCCCCGATACATTTCCCTTTCCACCGTTTCGGAATCGGTCCAAGTCCTTCGTCGTTAAACGACCGCGACTCTGGCCATATTCCTGAGCGTTTTTGAACCCTAATGTTAGCAGAAGAGAGAAAGAGAGAGAGAGAGAAAGAGAGAGAGAGAGAGAGGGAAAACCTGAGTCCACGACGCCGATGATGGCTCCACTGCCCATGGCGACATCGTTTAGAAGACCTTTAGGGGAACTTGCCGTGAGACCCAAGTAATCGAAAGCCCTAGTCGTTTGCAACTTCATAATCCGGCTTCTCGAAAGATGAACAACGTCAGGGTGCTCTGAAATACGTACAGAACGAGTCTACATGAGCAACTTGAGTTTGATGGAATGGTATTATTGTAATTATGTATGTCAGTTTTAACCTAGGGCTACGTCTGTATATATACATTACGTCTGTATATATAACATGCCTGACCAAAGGATTATTACAAGTACCTGACAGGTTTCTTGCTTGAGCAGAGGTGAGCCTCGCCGCGAAACCCGAGAAGCCATGCCTGTAACTATAGATCATCGATTTTCTCGCGGCTTCTCCGCTGCAAGAAGGATCATTTTCCATGAATATGTTCAGTAAATAGTCGCGAAAATTACGTAAATTCTCCATAATTTATTATTCGCGACATTGTTTGAAATCAAATGACAGAAAACGTTTCCGTACCTTCCAAGCAACGGTTCGAGAATCCCGTGGTGAGATCGAGTAACCAACTCGGGAACATCGTGTCGCAGCTCACCAAGATGAACTATGTAAACCTATATATGTATATACACATGTATATATATAATCATCACCGGGAAAATAAACACAAAAAAAGTTGAATCAAAGTTCGTTTCTTGCCATGGAAGCGAAAAGAATGGCGACGAATTCTTACGTTGCTTGAACCCGAAACGCCATTGAGGATGAACACGAGAGCGACAACGATAAGAGAAAACGGACCCATCAAGCTTCGATTCGAAATCAGAGAAGACAAATCCATCGGTTCTAATTGTCTTTTCGCCTCGACAATTGGAGTTTGTCTTCTCTGATTGCAGGTTGCTTTACAAAAGCCTCAAGGCTTCATGAAGATATTATCACTTCTTTTCATCTGTAATTTATAGGGTTTTTGTGTTGAAATTAATGTATCAAGTCTAATAACTAATCAAACTAGATTCTAAAACACATGTTTGTTAAGACAGGGCATATAACCAAATATTCATGCTGTCTTAAATTAGTTATTAAGTTCTTAATTTGGGTTTATGTTGCAAAGTGTTTAGCTGTCGCTTTGGATATATGACTCGTTTCGAGAAGGGGCAAAATGGTTTGGTTACGTGCTACTAGTAACAGAATATTCAACCCCCCAAAAAAATAGAAGATGTTGAAATTGCCGTTAGATATTTCATATATAAATATATTTAACAATATAAAAATATTATGGCACCTGTATAGCAATTTAGCAAAAAACAATGTTTTGATTTCGTCAAGTAAAGGATATGCTATGCTAGAAGACTTATAAAATATTTAGAATCTATTTTAGTACAATAAAAAACATTATACAAAATATGAAATATTTAATCTTAAATATTACTCTTTATTTTCTTTTCAAATTTTTACTAGAAACTCTTAAAAACTTACTGCATTTTTTATGGGTATTATTCCAAATCGATGTTAGCATTATAAACTCGTGGTATACAAGGAATTTGGATATTTATAGATTAGTTCCGCATGAGAGATAGTGATTACTAATAGCAAAAAAAAAATCCAATTCGAATTTCAACCGATAGTGATGAATACATATAATCGCAATTAATTACATTTAATTGCCTCAAACAAATATTTATAACTTTTGATTTCATACATCGAATCGTCACCGATAATAACAAGGCAAGCTAATCGACGCAACAATTTCAATAACGACTCCATATTCTTTAGGTAAAATTCGTCAAAACTATAATAGAATCATCTTCATAATAAATAACCAGTAAATAACACGAGGTTATTCTATTAAATACAATGTTGTTATCATAAAATACTATACACAAGTACATTACAACAAACATATGTTATTGATTATTCATGGAACATTACTATTTATAGGATTGGACCGACATGTGTATATACAATATGGTTATTATTATCAACCAACGATAGGGATTCCAACGACAATGCCAGAGTCGTTGACCCTAACGACAACCCTCGTGCATATAATAACGGTCAATATCATTTCATCTTCGGATAAAATCTCAGCCGTCACATTCGGATTCTCTTTCTCAATGATCGCTTTCGCCTCTTCACCCCTTTTCCCCACCAGCTCCGGCCACGAGCTCTTGCCACCTGTACTTACATGTCGGAGATTAAAAAAAAATAGAAATTTTAAAAGTTTATACACGTACGCATGCACGTGCAGCATTCACATGTACATAATATATGTAGACATCGTTATGGAGGATATATACATGTATAATTGTATATATATACCGATATATATGTGGTTATAATACGTATACGTTACACGATAGTGAGGAGGAATTGGAGAAAGTATCGATATTTATTACCTGGACATTCTTCACCCATTTTGTTTTTTTTGCCTTTTTTTTCTTCTTCCAAACTTCTCAATTTTCTATTTTCTGTTATGAAATCATATCAAAATGAAATAGCTATTTATAGAGACGATGTGGCTGTTCTTTATTGACCTTATATATATATATATATGCATGAGTTTTTTTAAATGAAATTATTACTCGATTTACAAATAAAATAGATGAATTATCCACGTAGCCGCCACGTCAATGGAAAGCGAACTCCGGTTAGGTTATACCAGAAGTAAGGCGGCTATATTTTAGATTTCGGTTTTGTTCGACTATTTTGAGTTTTAGTTTTTTTATTTTTAAAAATAAATATATTGGGTGTAAATATTTGTTTTGGTCAATTTCAAATTTTTTTCGTTTGATTTTTAATTTAAAATACATGTTTTCAAATTTTGTACCTTTTATCGTGTTTTTACTAGTTTTGATATTCGATTCAAATTTAATTAATAAAATTTTAAAAGTTTATATCCAACCAATTTCTGAATTAGATTTAATTTAATTATAGCTATATATTATGTATTTCGATTCGTTTTAGTTTTTATGTGAACTAAAATAACAATTTTAACAAATCCGTTATTTTCTTACTTTTTCCTCACATTTTCATTTGAATTTGATGCATTTATTTTTTTTTCTATATGTTTGGCATTCCTATTGTCATTTGAATTATACGTATTTATATCGGTTTGTTTTAGATTTTGTTTCAAATTCAGTTTTATAAAAAATACTATTTTAATAAGATTTTCATATGATGTTTTTGTATTATATTCATGTTTAATTAATTTAATCTTACAAAACTTATATCCAAACTATTTTTAAATCAGATTTTTTTCGAGCGTTTAGATTTAGTTTGATTTCATTTCTGATATATCAAACTACGGACGATTTTAACCATTCTTTCATTTTTTTTTCTGTCCATATTTTCGGATCATTTTCCTTCTAAATTATAAGTGTGTACACAACTATGCAAAATAATCAAATATAACGGTTGGCTCATGACCAGAACAAGAAAAAAAAATACATACGGTGGCTCTGAAATTTTCCTGTTTAACAAGGTAAAAGTCAACGTTAAAAGTCAACGGTAAACAGCTCGAGATCAGAATCGTCATAAACAAATATCCATACTTATTTTTGAAGAACAATGATGGGCTGGTTTGGTTAAAATTGCGATGTCAGCCCGTTAGGCCCATTAGGCCCATTTAAAAACAAAATTTCAAAATAGAAAAACCCGTAAAAAATAGAAAAAGCCCTTAATTTTCCCGCTCATATTTGTCAGAGAAGAATTCGAATAGAGAGAAAAGGCAAAAGATCAGATCTCCAATTCGTCGAGAGCGAGAGTGCTCGCGAGGCAAATCTGCGAGATCTTGTTTCCTCTGTTGTCTGAAAATGGGGGAAGAATCAGGAATTGCTTCTATCTCCGCTGAGAAACAGCTGATGGAGAGGATCGCCAAGATCCTGAACGAGACCAGGACTTCGTACGCCACTCACACCCGCAAGCTCAAGGAGCTCTCCGCCCTCCGATCGAAGTTCTCGTCGCTTTCGTCTTCCCCTTCCAAGGCGGTGTCTTCGTCTCGTCGATTCGCGGAGGTGTTTGTCAAAACCCTAACCCCTCTTTTTCATTCCGCTCAACGGAGGACGGCGGCCGCCGAGCGTGTTGTCCGGTTCGTGGCAGAATTCGCCTGCATGGGTTGTACTTCCGTTGATGGATCAGATTGTGATGAGTTATTGGAGGAGTTTGTGAAGCTCCTCTTGGTTGGTGCCTTTGCAGCGAACCGGAACGCTAGGTTCAGGGCGTGTCAGATTATTTCTGAGGTAGTAGAGGACACTTTTTTTGTGTGCAATGATGGGAAAATGGAGGAAAGTTCGCATGATTTCTGTTAGAATGTTTCTCGGTAGAAGGTGAAAAATCTTAGATTTGCTTCGATGTTTTTAGGTTTATTCAGACATTGGTGGCAATACGAAGTTTAGCTGGACTTTCGTATTTGTCTTCCTGTCTGGTTAAGTCAGACTTCTGGAGCATAGTTATGCTGGGAATTGATCATTGCCAGGAAAACATTTGATGGAATTTGATTGCAAGTATAACTGTTGTGAGTATGTAAATTGGAAGAATTTTGGTTGTTAGAATTTTTGCTATCTCTGCACGTTAAATTTCAGAGGAGGAAGTGATTTACTGGAGTTGGTCAGGTTTGAGAAAGCGATTCTACAGCTTCGTGGAACTAAATGAGATTATTACATTCGTTAAGTAAAATCTGCAGTTTTACTCTCCTTCCCTTGTTGCATTGTGAATTTTTGTATTCATGGATTTGGTTCATTTATCTTTCTACTTGTTCCATGTGATGCTTCTTTCCAGATCATATTGCGGTTGCCAGATAGTGCAGAAGTGAGTGATGAACTCTTGGATGATGTAATAGACATTATGATGCAGCGTCTTCGGGACAAAGTTCCTGTTATCCGCACATTTGCCGTTAGAGCTCTTTCACGATTTGTTAATGATTCTGAGAATAGTGACATTCTTGATCTGCTCCTTGAAGAGCTTCCGCTGGAACAAAACCCGGTATGAATTCTATCCATAGAGCATTTCGGTTAGCAATGCCAAAGTTCCCCCTATCATGGCCATATCCTGAACAATTTTGTTGTTTTATAATAATTGTGTCCATCCATCCTTCTTCTTATGGCTATTAGCTAAGCTCTTGAATGTTTCTAGGAGGTTCGCAAGACAATTGTTCTCTCACTGCCTCCTTCAAACTCGACTACTCAAGCAATCATTGATTGCACACTTGATGTTAATGAGTCGGTACGCAAAGCAGCATACTCTGTTCTGGCAAATAAAGTTCCTCTTCAGAGCTTGAGGTGAATTCGACCCCACAGCTTTCATTTTGATTTTCGTTTTCATCATATGAGGCACGGTTTTGGAGGAAAGAAAGCGGTCTACTTATCGATTAGCGAATGCAGAACTCCCATCCTCACTTTCCGTGTTTTTTCTCTTTAATGATCATTATTCTTTCATTTCCTTGTTCTAGCATCAAGCTTAGGACGACTATTCTTCAGAGGGGACTTGCTGATCGTTCAGTAAATGTTTCAAAGGAGTGTTTGAAGTTAATGAAGGATCAGTGGCTGTCTAACTGTTGCCAAGGAGATCCTATTGAACTTCTCAAGTACCTCGATGTTGAGACTTATGAAGCTGTTGCAGAGTTGGTTATGGATGCTCTGCTAAGTGAAGGATTGATAAAGCTGCATGATGATGAAAGTATGAGGCAGTATATATCGTTCGAAACCTGTGAAGCTGGTGGTATGTCTACTTCCCGAATCCCGGCTATAATTGTTTAAGATATGCAGTTTTTCTTTCTCTTATATTGTTTCCAACTGTTGCTAGTTGAGACCACATGTTCTAGACCCAGCATCCGACTAATGGAGCCGGAGATTTCCCTTTACTGGAGGACAATATCCAGGCATTTACACAAAAATGCACAAGTAAGTTTGCGAATATACCACTTCTTCATTGGTGGAGAGTATATTCCATCCCTGATCTTGACTTGAGTACTTCTATGCTTCTAATCTGCTTCTTGTAACAACACAAGAATGTGGAATAACCATCCTTATACCATACAGTGTGCTTAAGGATGTTTATTTTTTTATTTAAGCTCAATGGTTTCTTCCCTCTTGACAACTTAGTTTTACAAAACAGAGAATATCATAGCAACACTACTTAATTATAGAATATCTTGTAAACCTGATTATTCTCTATATCGTAGGAAAGAGTCGAAAGACTCATAGTTCATAACTAAATTCCTACTTAATTGATAACATTTTTTTGATATTCAAGATCTTTGATTTATCTCTGTAGCGACTCACTGTAATCAATGACACCCTTTATCAGGCAAAAGGTTCTGATGCTGCTGTAGCAATGGGAGCTCAGGCAGCAGTTTATGCTTCTGAAGCTTCAGATATTAATGACTTGCTAGATAGAATCCTTCCTGCAACTGTTTCTGATTATGTTGACATAGTTAGAGCTCATATAGATGCGGGTGAGTGAAAGTCATATTTTCTCCTACAGAAAGCATAATTTTGTGATTTAAGCAGTATCATTCTCTGATGTGTAATTTGCAGGACCGGACCATCACTTTGCTTCAAGGCAGCTACTATTGCTTGGCACACTGCTTGATTTTTCTGATGCTACATTCAGGAAGACTGCAAGTTCATTTGTGCAAGAGTTGCTCCGCAGACCTCTTGAGCAAGAACTAGATGAGGACGGGAACCAAATTGTTATTGGAGACGGTATAAATCTTGGTGGTGATAAAGATTGGGCTGATGCCGTATCCAAGTTGGTTAAAAAAGTCCATGCTGCTCCTGGGGAGCTTGAAGAAGTTATACTTGGTGTTTTGGAAGAACTAGCTAGGCCGTTTAGGGAAAGGACTGCAGACTTCATGCAGTGGATGCACACGCTATCTGTGACAAGTCTTCTCTTGGAAAATGCAAAATCATTACGTTCACTTCAAGGGAAGGGTATTGAACCAGAAGAGATATTGCATGCCTTGCTGCTTCCAGGGGTACATTTTATATCATCTTCTCCTTTTCTTATTTATTTCCAATAGTGATGACATTACCTTAGGGCGATTTTGTTTGTTTATTTTCTCTCACAATATTTAAATTTTGGTATGCTGTGTATATGATCATATGTTGAGATTCTTTTGACTGAATTATTAGACCTCCAGCTTCAAAGTTATCGTTCATTTTCCCCGGAGAAGGATACATTCAGATGTAGCAATTGCCTAGTTGTTTTCTGCAGCTACTTGTTATCTCCAAGAAAATTGTGAAGGAATCAATAGTTCTATGTCAAGAGATATATATGACAATCAGAAAATATTGACCATACACATACATTCTTTTTACTTTAAAAACCTTGGCACAATCTTTCATATGATTGATTTTTGGTCTCTCAATGCCTTTATCGCCTTATAATGCTGATGTGTAACGAAATGCAGGCTAAACATGTGCACTTGGATGTCCAGAGGATTGCTATCAAGTGCCTAGGCCTTTTTGGTTTGTTAGAGAACAAGCCTAGCGAAGCACTGGTAAAGCAGTTACGGGTAGCTTTTTCCAGAAGCCCGCCTCCAATTGGTATAATGGCCTGCAAGGCACTAGTGGATCTTGGGATGTGGCATTACCCCCAAGAAGTTGACAAGGCTATGGGTCAAGATCTTTCGTCACAGCTCAAAAATGATAACAACATTGATTTTGTACCCATTGACTTGTCTAATCCAGATGAAGATTTGAACATAAAATTACTTGACCTCTTGTATGCTGGACTTGAAAGTGACGATTGGAGGATATTCATAGACGACGAGTCAGTTAAAACAACTGTTGGAGAGGGGTTTGCAAAGTTCCTTCTGCTTGGAGAGAAGTACCCCGATTTGCCTGCATCTTTCCATCCCTTCGTTTTAGCCAAGTTGATTGCTTTATATTTCAGCGAGGAGTCAACAGGACAACTGAGGTGAATGATATGCTCGTTTTTCTTGTCTTTTGCTAACTCGTGCGTTTAGAGAATCTGCTAATGCTTTGTTCTTTTTAAATATTGTCCAGGTTTAAACAATGCTTATCTGTCTTCTTTGACCACTATGCTTCTCTCTCAGCTAAACATAAGGTAACATTAACATGATGTTCTTTTGAGTAAGAAGATTAATGGTGTAATCAAATATGTGTTTGTATATTATTGATGTGGTTATTGCAGTAACTGGATTAACCATCTAATGCAGGGGTACTTGTCTAAGGCTTTTATTCCTGTAATGCGCTCAATGTGGCCCGGCATAGATGGAAATCCTGGGGGTTCACCGTTTGTTATATCAAATAAACGCAAACGGGCAGTCCAAGCATCCAGGTTTATGCTGCAAATGATGCAAGCCCCACTATACACAACAGAGACGAGAGTTGAACCCGAAAACAGGTCAAGCATATCATCAGAAACACCAAACGACTCTATGCAGCTTCCACTAGAATGTGGTGAGGAGGGACTTGCTGTACGCATAGGCAGTGAGGTTAGTCGTATTTCCTGTTCTACCTTATCATGTTATCCATGACATCTGAGAAAGTTTAAGCCAAGGAAGAAAGTCTATACGAGGAACCTGACAACTATTGTAAAAGAAAGAGTGGAGACCTTGAACACTATCAGTCTGAGTAATCACTTCTTAGTTCCTGCTTTTATCCTTTACAGATCACAAGTTTCCAGGCAAAGAAGACTCCAGCGGAGAAGGCATATGTCACAGCACTGTGCAAAATACTTGTTTTGCTCCATTTCAGATCATCAGAGCAAAACACGATAAAGTTAATGAGAAAGCTTTTAAGTCGTGTAGCTGATTCTATAGGCTGGGAAAAGGACATTCTTAAGGAAGTGAAACTGTTGGCAGAACATCTGAAGTCATTGGATGTCTGTCCGGAAGAGGAGCTTTCACAGGATCAAGCAAATTCCATCTTTGGTACATGTTCTGTCTTCAACTTATCAGGCTTTTAATCATATTGCATTGCATGGCAGGGGAATCTAGGTGGGTTTTTTGAGTTTGTTGCTTATGGAATTTCTAGCTTTGCAATGGTGTCATTGTTCAAGCACAACTGTGAATAAAAGTTTTCATGCATCATGACCTGTTGGGTATGTATACGGATCGCATTTTCAGAGTAGCACAACTTGGATTCGGATTTTAGGCAGTGAAGCAAAATATGCAGGGCATGATAGATGATACGATTCACCCTCATCCTTTTCTAGTTTGTGCATAGAAATCATTAATGTTTTCAAGAGTGTCTCTACTATGATTGTCTTGCTGCTTATTAGATGGTTCTCTCTATGATTATTTACAGACACATTAGCCGTAAAGTTCAACCTGGACATGATAGTGTCTGCAGAAGTGCCACAGACACCTGCTCCTTGTTCCACCAGACAGGTCCGAACAAGAAGACGGGTAAGAAGGGAAGAAACATCCTCTGACGAAGAAGAAGCATCTCCAGTCTCTGTCCAATCTGCTGCCCCTTCCGTTCATTGTACCACAATGACCCGATCTCACAGAGCAAGCAAAGCTGCTGCTTTGGCCAGAATGACCGCTAGTAAGGCTAAAACGACGATAAATGCAGGTAATGATGACAACGAGGAAGAAGGTTTTTCTTCCGAGGTCACAGCAGAAGATACAGACGAATCTGATGAATATCGCGAATGAAAGGTGGGTAAAATGAGTTCCCTTATGATTTGGCACGAATACGAATTGTTGTTTGTCTGTTGCCGAGATCAGATCATGGCTTCTTAGTTTGTGTACAGGGTTGCGGATCCAAGTCATGTTCATGTCTGATACCCTCTCCAAAGTCTATTGCTTCTTTTGTGTTGGTTGCGAAGGCTGTCTTAATGTGATCCAAATTTATATGATGATGGCAAAAGAATTTTTTTTTTTTGGTGGAAATGACGAAACATTTCCAAAATTTAGCGTATGATAACCAATTGCGTGGCAGGTTTGTTTGGTCATCTCCAAATTCTGCTACCAATGAGGGATGAGAATCACTCTTGTCTGAATACTCTTAGGTTTTTTTTTTTTGGTATGAATGAATACTCTTAGGTTGTATATGGACATAAATACATACACCAATTCTAACTTTACCACAAAAAAAAATATGATGTGTAAGTTTTGTTTTTTCTTTGTTTTGATCCAAGATTTATTTTTCTCGTATTTGATTTAATTATTAGTTTAATAACTATTTCTAATATCACACCTGGTGTTTGGTGCTATATCGTAAATTGTTTCATTTCTTGCAAAATAATTATCGAAACTAAGCCTTTTTTTTGTAGCGGAAATGGATCAAATAAAAATGTTCATACGTCGAAATTCCATGGCATAAAAATGGGTTTCGGAATGCAATACAAAGGCCTCCTATAGTCGATGGTAATTGTGGATTTTATTATTTCCGAGGAAAAGAAAGTTCAATAAAATGTGTTATTAATATGTTAATTTTGGGAAATAAGTAGTTCCTTCGAGGCCAAGCAATATGTGTCCTAAAAAGCAGAAAAAAAATGGGTACTTGTCTCGATTAGTGCGACGGTACAGTTGGAGATGTGTCTTCACTCGAAAAAGGTATTTCTATTCATTACAATGCAATTTATAAAGCCTTTCTTGTTTTCAGTCACTCACGTACACATCCCTTCATGAATCCCAACGAATATACATCTACGTTTGGAAAAAATAAAATGAAAAATGAAAATTTATTTAATAAAGGAATATACAGCTTTTCGAATTGACATTCTTTATTAGTAATATAAAAGAACAAGTATTTCTTTATGAACAAATTTGATTAAAGAGAAAGTGAATGGAATATTTCTCCTTTAGTCTTTCTTTTTTTTCCCTTTTACATGAAGATACACGATTTTCTTCTTTATTCTAAAGTAATTTGTTGTGAAAGTCTATTTCTTAGGTGTTAGCAAATGAAATGAACAAATTTTATGGGATGATTTTGTGGTTATAATGATATATATAAAGCTCAAAGCATACACACAATTATTATTATGATAAGAAAGAATTTCATGATTAACACTAGACGAATTTGAAATATTTATTCTGCTTTAAAGCCAATCGTGTTACGTGTCTGCGTGCTTTATTCAAAAGCTCTCTTTTTTTCGGTGAATTACACGAAAAAAAAAAGTAACAAAAAAATAAAAATAATGCATGCATGCATTGGACGTCCTTCTTGCCATTGTAAATCTGTAATCTCTTTGTTTATATATCTCTATGAATAATACAAAACCATCCAACAAGTAAATACAAAACTGTAGAAATGTTAAATCTAGATGGTTTCATATTTATCTTTCAGAACAGAGACATTATCAACTAGAATCTTTAAAAAAAATCAAGATTCATATATATATATATATATATATATATATATATTGATCGGATAATAAAAATTATATTTATATTTATATATAGGAAAACGTTACCATACACCACATGTATAAATAGGTTACACTCTCCCCATTCCTAATGTCTTTTTCTTCTTCCTCTTCATCTTAGAATCAATCATAATCACAAATATGGCATTGCCAAAGCCAAGAAACACACTCTCTCTCCTCAAACTGATCACACTCACGACTCATCGCCGCCCCCGCCGCCTCCTCCTCAGCCACCGACGCATTCGTATATGGCGGCTGCTCCCAGCAGAAATACTCTCCGGCGTCACCGTACGAGTCGAACCTGAACTCACTGCTGACGTCACTGGTTAACTCGGCCACGTACAGTTCCTACAACAACTTCACCGTCATGGGCTCGGTCTCGACCGACACAGCCCGCGGCCTCTTCCAGTGCCGCGGCGACCTCTCCATGCCCGACTGCGCCACCTGCGTCGCCCGCGCCGTCTCCCAGGTCTATATACTCACCATACCCCTTAAAGGGGTATTATCGTAATTTCCAATCATATTAATTGTAATCTGTCATCATGGTATCCGACGTACAGATTGGGTCGCTCTGTCCGGGCGCGTGCGGCGGCGCGTTGCAGCTGGCCGGCTGCTTCATTAAGTACGACAACGTCAGCTTCCTCGGCTCCGAGGACAAGACGGTGGTGTTGAAGAAATGCGGCCCCTCCGAAGGGTAACACACCCACAAATAATAATAATAATAATAATAATAATAATAATAATAATAATAATAATAATAATAATAATAATAATAATAATAATAATAATAATAATAATAATAATAATAATAATAATAATAATAATAATAATAATAATAATAATAATAATAATAATAATAATAATAATAATAATAATAATAATAATAATAATAATAATAATAATAATAATTGAAACATATTTTGCAAACAGAGAAAACGCGGAGGAGATGGGGCAGAGGGACGCAGTGCTGAACGGGCTACTCACCGGAGGAGGAGGAGGGTATTTCAGGGCGGGAGGGTCAGGTGAGGTCCAGGGAGTGGCTCAGTGTGTCGGAGATCTGACGGCTGGGGAGTGCCAAGACTGCCTGTCTTCTGCCATCGGACGGCTCAAAGCCGACTGCGGCTCCGCCGTCACCGGAGACGTGTTCTTGGCCAAGTGCTATGCTCGATATTCCACCAGTGGCGCTCAGTACTACTCCAAGCCTCATAAATGTAATCCCTTCTTCTTCTTCTTCATCATGTGTTTTTTTTTCGAATTCTATTTAGTATATACCAAAAATAAGAAAAAGGAACAAAAAAAAAGGGATCTTGCGTCGAAATGTTAAAAGAAAAATCCAAACTTTAGATTAGAGAGATTGTTGAAAAGTCATGGATTTTCCAAAACTTTTTTTTTTCGCATTCAACTTTCAAAATAATATTCTAGTTTGATTTTGACATCTTAAAATCTTAGCCTTTTTTTGTTGGTAGAGTTTAGTTTTTTCTTCTCGGGGTGTTTTTAGCATTTTTTTTTTTCAATTTTCAATGGATTCCAAATTCCAATGCTTAAAAACTTGATTTAGGGTCGACTGGTTGTACCGCAGCGGTTGCGGTTACGGGTGGCAGCGTTTTCAAAACGTTTGATAGCGATTATAAATGATTAGTACTGACTGGTTGAGAAGTTGCTGTTGGTAGCGATTGCGGGTGGATGTAGTTAAAAGTGAATGGTTCATTACGGTTGCGGTTGCGTTTTGATATAAATTGTCAAAAAAAATATTATTTAAAAATAATTTTTTATAATTTTTGATAAATTACTAAAAAATAATATCAAATCATAACACTAAACAAAATCATCACCAATATATATATTAATGTTTTATATAATTTTTAATAAAAATATTTTAGTTTTTTTGTCAAAACGCCGGAAACCGCTACCAAAACGCAAGTTGGAAGCTGCGATTAGAAAACACAAGTTTAGTTGCGGTTGCGGTTGGTTGCGATTCAACCAGTCAGTTTTTCAATCGCCCGCAATCGCCGAAAATCGCAACCGCTCTGTTTGTGGGTGGCGGCGGTGCAACCAGTCGGCCCCTACTATTGTTATTATTTTCATGAGTGATATTTGTAAATACTCCAACTTTTGAAAATAACATAGGTATTAATGTGGTCCGCTTCTAATATGTGAAAATGCAAGGTCTTGAAAAAGGTTCACAAGTTTCAGCCATTTTAGCATTTTCATTATATAAAAAAAAACCTCCCATTTCACCTAGTTTTAATGATTTTATTGCTAGAAAATTCGATTAGTTACGGATATGACTGTATTAATATTTAATCATATAGAGTGATACTAATTATTTTTGTTGGAAAAAATATAAAAGATAAAACGAGCTACGGAGGAGACAAGACATTCGCGATCATCATTGGACTTCTTGCGGCGGTTGTCATCCTCATTATCTTCCTTCTTTTCCTCAAACAAATTTGTGTTCGTCATGGTAATTTTTTTTTTACTAATATCACTTATTTCTTTCCCCAATTAATCGTTTCAATGATAATTAATTGTCCGTGTATAATTTTATTTTTCCTAATTGCTCTGCAGGTAAATAAATGCAATGTTCACAAAGCGTGGATCTCAAAGAAAAAAAAATGCCAAACTTCACAGGACTCGCTTTGGATCTACCCTAATATTCCTTTTTCTTTCTTTTTTTTTCTTCTTATTTTCTAATTAATGTTTAAAAGTTTGATGTCGTATATTAAGGTTTATAACTTTTTCTAATTCTTGAAAAAAAAGGGTTTCAGAAAATGGATTTTAAAAGGCTTTATTCCATCAAAAAGAAGACTATGGTAAAAAAGCAACAAAGGAAAAGAGGAGAGAGATGGGAGCTTGAAAAGGTTGAAGCTTTTCTTATGTCGAACTTTATATGGCAAATGGTATATATTCTTTTGTAAAGTTTGTTATTTTATATTATTTTCTATTTATTTTCCATATGTTATTCTCATTCGAATTACAACTTACGTAAGTAACAACAATAAGACTGTAATTGTTTACCATCATATTCAACCGAAGGTATGATTATGTATTAAATCGACATCAACTTATTCATGTAATTTTTTAATTAAACGAAATTATATTATCAGCATCGAAAATTCCTGATTATTTTCCAAAAAAAAAGAAATATTTATATTGATAAATGAGAATTCTTGATTATTTCCTAATGTAACGAAAGTCGCTATTTGTCCACCATCTAAGTTCTTCAATTGAATTAGAAAAAGCTTATCATCCCTTCTCGTGAATAGCAAGAGCATGAAAATGAAATAATTCTCAATCTTACAAAAAAATTATATGTTTTTTTCTCATACTTTGATTTAGTTTGAAATTCTATTTTTTTAGTTTTTAAAATGTTGTATCCATATTTTATTTTAATAACAGTTTTATTATATTTTGATTTAATAATTTTGAATTCGTTTTTTTTATTTTAGAAAAAATTACATATCTGTATTTTATTTTTATATAAATTGATATTTCGTATAAAATATTTATTATTTAAAAAAAGTTATTTCTTCGTTTATTTTTTAAATATGAGATGTGTATATATTCGTGACGAGGAGGGTGAGAAACCCAAAACAATTACAGGCCCAATTTCTCTCCAGCCCAAATCTTGATATTACCCAACGGCTGACATCAAACTGAGTCGTATGATTAACGTTTGCATCTCACCGTAGCGGATTATTGCCCTTTCGTCTTCTCCAATGTTCCGAGACGAAGAATGACAAACATGATTCAGATGATTATGTAGAACATTCTGGATTCAGGATAACGTCTTCAAATCCTCTCTCTCCCCTTAACAATATCGTTATATATAAATATGTATATATGAAAGCTAACATGCGTGAGAGAGATAGGATTCAGAACTTGAGAGAGAGTCAGCCATGGCGGATGGAGTTTTCTGGCACCCATTCCGGCGATTTGTTGGCCCTCCGGTTTTCCGGGAATCGTGGGGATCAACTGCTCTGATTGACTGGATGGAATCACCTAACGCCCACATCTTCAAGATCAATGTACCAGGTATCTCCAGTTCCACATCTCAAGTACAAACTCCATGAAAATACGCCAAATTCGCAAACTTTTTGGACCGAAGACAAAAACCCATGTTGGCTTTCGATGCAGGGTACAACAAGGACGACATAAAAGTCCAAGTAGAGGACGGAAATGTCCTGAGCATAAGAGGGGAAGGTGTGAAGGAAGAGATGATGCAGGGGAAAGAGAACGTGACGTGGCACGTGTCGGAGAGAAGCGGCGGTCCGGGAAAAGGGGAGTTTCTCCGGCAGATAGAGTTGCCGGAAAACGTGAAGACGGATCAGATAAAAGCCCACGTGGAGAACGGAGTCTTGACGGTGGTCGTCCCCAAGGACACGTCGCCTAAGCCCTCCAAAGTCAGGAACATCAACATCACTAGCAAGCTCTGAGTCGAGAGTAGGCTGTCTGGTCACGGCTTTCTGTAATAACCTGTCTGGTCTGTGTTTTGTCCTGAATCTATGGTTATGAGAATGTTATAAGATATAGTTTGGAGTGATATTGTTGTGAAAACTCTGTACTCTGTCATCTGAGAATCGGTATTTCACTCTGTACATAGTGGAACCTCTGCAATATAAGTTATAACACTCAACCATGGATCTTTCTGCAAGACCCAGAAACCTAATCTTGCCACTTCTGCTGATTCCCGACAAGAAAACGACATCAAGGAATCAAGAAGCAAAGCGAGAGCCTAAGAACAAATGGACTGAAACAAAAGAGTGAAGCTTTTCGATCATTTTGCAGGTGTGGAGTGATTGATGAGCCAGTCGATGACAACGTCTATGTTTACAGAGTCCTTGCACGAGATCATGTAGCAGCATACTTCTCTATCTCCGATGGTGTCAAGGCCTCTGCAAGCAAATCCAAATCATCAGTCTTTTCAACTCTTGAGAGAAATGGGGCAGGCCTAAAATACATGGAACAGGAACTATCAGATCATCAGATTTCCATCCCTATTCGTCCAAACAAAATCAGAACAACACATGTCTGAACTTTGGCATGTAATGCCCAGTTTTGCAGGCTTCAATTTCCATCCAAAATCTAGAACTTTGTGGCAATATTGAAGAACATGTTCTCGGTTGAGCATTTGTGAAACCACTAGCTGTCTTAAAGCATCTCAAGAATCGGGTTCACATATGATATAATACACTAAGTTCAGTACAATTTCTCTTCTGATCATGAGGCCCCTTGCACTGTGAGACCAATGTGGATAGATTCTAATCATATTAATGCATTCAGATTGAGCCAACCCCAAAAAAAACTCTCACACTCATTGAAAGATTCTAATCAGGTTAGCACAAGAGATGGACAAAACTTACAGTTGATCCACCAAAGATTGCTTAGAGAGAGCTTCTGACTTGTCGATTTTATTGCCGAGGACAAGAAGTGGAATGCCGCTCAAAGAGGGTTTTACTAACAGATCATGCAACTCATTCCGCGATATCGGAACACTGTCTCTGTCTGCAGCATCAACAACATATCTGCAGGCATTTGAACACTCATCAAACTACTTATAAAGTTATCCGGTAAATAGGGGGAAAGGGTATATTACACAATAGCAGAAACACCCCGGCAATAGCGCTCCCACGTGGTACGGAACCTGCGTTGCCCTCCAACGTCCCAAAGCTTTATCGTGACGTTCCCCTTTGTAACTTTCCTCATGTTAAATCCTACTGTAGGAATCATGTCCTCGCTATAACTTCCAGCCTGAGATGAGAAGCAAAGATCAGAGGCAGGGTAAGAAACAAAGAAAAAAGAATATATAAAGTAAAAATATAGTGTCTATGAATTTCTCCATAAACTCACAGCAATTGCATTAACAAGAGAAGTCTTGCCGCCATTCTGAAGGCCGACGAGGGAGAGCTCCATCTCCTGTTTGAAGAACAAGCTGGCAAGCGAAATATACAGATTGAGAGAGAGATTCTAAAGATTGTTTGAAGAGCAAAACAAACGGTAGGAGCAACCGTGACCTCAATTCAATTCCAAAGAACTATATCATGAAGATGGATAGCGCAGAGCCAAATCAGCCACTGAGAAATCCCAATTGACCATAGCTTTCATATCATAAAAAAAACGATTACGGAGACTGCTGTCTGCATCAAAGTCGCTACCTTTCGGTAGGGAATTCAATGGAATATCGATGAACTGAACAAACAGAAGAAACAGTAAAGTTGGCTATACAAGTCGCTATCACTTCCTATATCCCCCACTAGCTTAAAAAACTTAAATACCACAGAGCCTGATCAGTGTGAGATCCATTGATGAAGTAAGCAAGGGATCCGAAACACTTGATCGGACACAAATTTTTCTCGGGAACCAAACAAGTGAGGAAGAGAAGTCGAATCGAGCAATAAAGTTGCAAAGGAGAAAAAAGAAGCAATCTTTTTACCTCCGGAGCCAGTTGAGAAGCGAATCCCAGAGACCCATCTCAAAAGAATCGAGCTTTCCGAAGATTCACAGGTAGATTCCGATTTTGCGAAAGACAGACACGTAGAAACCCTAATTCACCAAAACAATTTATCTTTTTTGGAACCTGGGTAGGGAGAGAAACAGAAAGGAAAAAAAGAGAGGACAGACGAAGGAGAGAAGAGTACTCAAGGGGACCGTTAAGGGATCAAATGTCGGTTTCGTGGTCCGCTGTCTCACGCTGTGTTTGCATCCTTTGAACGTCACATGTTTTTAAAGAAGGGAAGAATGGTATTTGTATCACTCGGAATACGTTTGGGATACAATAAAAAAGAGTTTAAATAATAATCTGGGATTCTATTATAGATATATAATGAATATATAAAACGTTTAATTTAATTGTTTATGATATATATATATATACATATGTATGTGTGTGTACGTGTGCGCGATAAAAAAAAATAAAAATTTATTGGAGAACTGCTTTTGGTCAAAATTAAGGGTGAACAGTAGCCAAATTAGCCAATTGGATTTAACTTAATTCTATTTACTTTTAATTTTAGAGTAATAATTTGAATATTTTCCAAATCGAGAACTTATTGTAAAAACCGATATCCATTAAAAAATCCTATACTATACCCCGGGCTTCAGTGAAATCGCCCTGGATATATTTGGCATCTCACACATTTCTCTTCTGATGAATGGGCCAGGCCCAATCTTAGATTCAAAGAAAATATTATGATTTCCCTTCTGTTGAATGGGCCAGGTCAGGCCCAATATTAGATTCAAGGAAAATATTGATATGATTTCCCCTTCTGTTGAATGGGCCAAGCCCAATCTTAGATTCAAAGAAAATCTCCAAGCAATTTCCCCTTCTATTGAATGGGCCGGGCTCAATCTCAGATTCAAATGCAAGTCTTGTAACTTTGGAAATTCGTCCTTTTGTATACGAATGACTTGTAACACAAGAAAACAATGCATGCATATTTTCTAATATTTTACGCATTAACATTGTGTTATCAATAAAAGAAACTTGGAAAGAAATGACTATATCACACATTTCATATCATTTCCTTTAAAAAATCCCATGTTTTAAATCGGCACCCATTTGATATTTTTCTTATTTAATTCGTCTAATCGAGTTAAAATTTTCGACGAATTTGCTTGTGAAAGAGAGAACGGACCAAAGTGTTTGCTTAGTGGACAAGACCAGCTTCCAAGTTTTCATGCTTCCAATGTAAACATACAATTGTCTGTTTCATGGCTAAAGAGTATATTCTACTTCTAGCGATTACGTATTTATACAGAAAAAAATGTCGCAATAATTCTTTCTTTATAACATATATATATATATATATATATATATATATATATATATAACACGAAAACGTTTTCTTCCGTCGTCGAAAAAAATCTAGATACGTAGGTGTAGGAAAATTATATTTGGAAGACCGGAAACATCCGTATATATAACTAGTTAAAAGGAAGTAGATACGTAGATATAGGTAAATTATGTTTTTATTACTTAAATTAAGATGGTTATTCGGTGTATCTATTTCTATGGCATTGTGGGCTTGGGCTTCGTCTCCAGTTCTTTATTTTTTTTAATAAATTAAATCTCGAATTTATTTTGTGTTCCCACCCTCTTTTTTTTTTTGTTAATTTATGTTCCCACACTGTTTCTTTTTCTAAAGCAATCAAATCCTAATTACGCAATTTTACCCAATGAATATAGACAAAAATACAAATATCGAATAATTTGTTCGCATATACATATATATATATATATATATATATATATATATATATATATATAACACGAAAACGTTTTCTTCCGTCGTCGAAAAAAATCTAGATACGTAGGTGTAGGAAAATTATATTTGGAAGACCGGAAACATCCGTATATATAACTAGTTAAAAGGAAGTAGATACGTAGATATAGGTAAATTATGTTTTTATTACTTAAATTAAGATGGTTATTCGGTGTATCTATTTCTATGGCATTCAAGCGTTAATTCACCATACCTTTACGGATAGAAATATGTATATTGTTTATGATCTTTATTTCTTGGAGATACGATTTTATATGAATTATATTGAAAGACATTACAAAAATTGATTGGTCATAATTTTATTTAATATCAAATTTAAATAAAAATATAAAATACCAAAAAAATTAAATAAATAAAATTTTATAATATATCGAAATACGAGGTTATGGCGGCAACATGATATGGGGTGGTCATCCCACTTATGGGTTTAAATTCAAATTGAAAACCAAAACATATAAAAAAAAATTGTATTGATATTCTTTTTCTAAAAATATGAATATAAAATAAATCTAAAAAAATACATCAATATATGGAACTAATCAAACTGAAATTCTGAAGCAACGTTTGTAAAAATTAACAAGGTTTTTAGGGAAGGGAGAGAGAGAGAGAGAATCTAACGCTTGAAAAGGAAGCAAAGAAAAGGAGGATGAGGTGGCGCTTTCCGACGTGGACTTCCCGCGTCGACTCCTCTTTCTCTCTCCTTGTCGACACGTGTCATCTCCCAAATGGCCCCAATCCCACCACGCCTCCCCAATTTCATGAGCCCACTTTATTAGCTTATTAGAACCAACAAAAAATTATTCTACTTTCAATAATAATAATAATAATAATAATAATAATAATAATAATAATAATAATAATAATAATAATAATAATGTGCAAGAATACTTAAAAACCTAAACTTACAACTCGTTCCGGAGATATTTTTAAAATCTTACTAGATATATTCCATTGAACATATACCATTTTAAAAAATGTGAAATAAAAGACATGTGCTACATGCATAATTATAAGCTGAAATTAAGCCAAATATAAAATAAACTAATGTTTTGATCCGAAAATTCACGGTAAAAAAATACTAGGTAACTCTGTCGGAATTATTAAGGATCATAAAATAACAAATTGATCCAAACATGGGACGAGGGAGATCCATCGAAATGAAAATGTTTGAACTAAGTGGGCATTTTCACAAGTAAAAAAATAGTATATTTATTCAAAAAACATTATCATTAATATTGTAAAGATGCTTCATTCCAAGATTGTTCACACCATTCTTCTTGGGCGGTGTCTCATTTGGTATTTGCTGATTTTTTTTTTAATTTATTTTTTCTCCACTTTATTTTATCCGTATCCACAAGATTTTACAATATCCAACTGCTTTTATTAATAATAGTAAATCGTCATTTTATGAATTTAATTTTTTCCTTGATATAATTATTCAAAAATTAAAATAATTTGGAAAACCATGATAATGTAAAACTTTAGAATTAATAACGTTAAGTGGCCAAATAAAAATATAAAACAAACTCGATTATAATAATATGGAGTACACCGTTCTCAAATCAAGAATATTGAAAAGTCTTACAGTAATTTACAAATGAAATATCATTTTTTGAATACACAGTTAATGTTTATCAAAACATTATCCAAAATTTATGATGCTATAACAATTTGTAAATATGATAATAGTTACCGTAATAAATCAATGTGGACAAGTATATACGTACATACGTTAACGAACTTCTTTAAAATCATGACAATAAAGAAAAGAAACTATACTATGCACAAATATTATATCATATCTTAAACTCTTAGCCATATATTTAAAAAGACAAAAAAAAAGGGAAAATGGACCACCAGCTGTGTGAACCAGGAGATCAAGGTTGAATTTACAAATGAAATAACTTAGTGCTCAAATTTATCCTTACATTCTTTTTGCTCTCTCTTTATTACACACACACACATATATATATATATGTATGTATATGTCCCTGTATATATATATGTAGGTGGTTGCCTTAACTTATCCCTTCTCTGTGTTCAACTTGATTACGCACATTGGCCTTTCAGAACAGAGACTGAAATTACAAACCCTAAACACAAAAAATAGACTTCGACATAAGCAAGAAAACACGGAGTTTCACTAACAAAGATAAAGAGGCAGAGATCAAAGGAACCGAGAAGGAATGGGGAGACAGCCATGCTGTGACAAAGTAGGGTTGAAGAAAGGGCCATGGACTGCAGAAGAAGACAGGAAGCTCGTCAACTTCATCCTCACCAACGGCCAATGCTGTTGGAGAGCTGTTCCAAAGCTCGCTGGACTCCTCAGGTGTGGGAAGAGTTGCAGATTGCGATGGACTAATTATCTCCGACCAGATTTGAAGAGAGGTCTTTTGTCTGAATACGAGGAAAAGATGGTCATTGATCTCCACGCCCAACTCGGTAACAGGTACATTAATTTCCCTCCATTTTCTTTCTCCCCCTTATTCTATTCTTTTGTATCAGCTTTTGTGATCGTGCATAAACGCATTCTGTATATGTAAAAGGTGGTCAAAGATTGCTTCGCATTTGCCGGGAAGAACAGACAATGAGATCAAGAATCACTGGAACACTCACATCAAGAAGAAGTTGAAGAAAATGGGGATCGACCCAGTAACGCATAAGCCGCTTTCGACCGTTGAAGGTCAAAAGAAACAACAGCCAAAACAAGAAAAACCCACGAACGATCACAAGCTTGAAACCCAGATGACAAGACGAGAACCTAATTACCTGTCTGGAACGAGTATGGAGTTACAAATGACGAAGCAAGACGATTTGCTTGGTGATCAGTTCATGATGATGAACGTTAGTACAGATCCAGTTTTCGGCATCGAAGAGGTTCCTCTGATTGATCTTGAGGGCTTAGGGTTTGTCTCCAACAACTCTGCAGTGCCCTGTTCGTCGTCTTCCTCCTCGACGACTACGAACTCTTCGCAAGATTCATGTTTCTTGAAGGATTTCCAGTTTCCGGATTTCGATTGGTCGGCTTCGGATTACGGTGATAATGGGATCGACAACATTGTCGACAGTGATATGATGAGTTTATGGGATGTTGATGATTTTGGCAGCTGGGATTTGCCGGTAAATGATGATATTGCTCAGAGGTCTTGCACATTTGGGCTATTTTGATCAATTTTCAACCTTTTAGCATTTTTTCTGTAAAATGAAAACTCTGGGGGCTGAAAAGATAAATAAAAAACCTTCCTTTTCCTTCATTTTTTTTTGTTTATTATTATTTCACATTGTTACAAAATTGTGGGTGGAATGGTGTGTTGTGGTCAATTCGGTGTTGTTGTTTTTTTTACTTCCATGTGTTATCCTTATTATAAGGAAAGTAATATATATATATATATATATATATATATATATATATTTTAACTAATAAAATTAGCTTATAATCTTCTTTCTACAATAAGAGATAAATAATAGAAGGATATCTTTGAATATCTTCCTTCATATATTTGGTGTTAATATTTTACATAATCTTCTCCTTATTTTACATAATCTTCGATATAAACTCATGTGCATCTGCATTTGTCTTTGATTAAGCAAGATTTACAAAGATTTCCAACAAAAAAAAAAAAGATTTACAAAGATCGCTTTGCCTTGTAAGTTGTAACCTTAAACTATATGAGTAACGACTCTGGCCCTATCATCGTATAATTTCACCTTATTTTTACTCCTTTAATTTACTAGAATGTAAATCAAATAACCAAAAAAAAATTACCTTTTACTTCATTAAATAATGTCTAACCAATTTTCTGGTCTTTAAGTATGTCGCCTTCAAAAATTCATGCAACGAACTATTAAATCAACCTTATGTGGTTAGTATTTCATAAAATTTACTTTTATGATAAAATTTAAAATTAAGCTAATTCTGTATGAATTAAAAATATATACTTTGCATCTACTTCTAAATATATTACTTTATACTATAACAATAATACCAAAACTCCAATCGTTATGTAAAACTAGAACGAACGCTTACATCTTTAGAATTTGGTGTCTAAAATCAATTAAATTATTTAATCATTCATTTTTTATATAGATCATGGACTGTTCTGTTGAAAATATATATATATATATTTTACATTTGATTTTATCAAGTAGAATGGTATGTTACTATCAAACCAAACAAAGTCAAACCAAATTGATTACTAGTTAATCGTCACGATAGAAATAAAACTTGGTAAAATATAGCTGGATTCCAGATTTGCTAAAACAATTATTACAACAAATGATGGATAATGTATATATAATATGTATTCAACACTACTAATATTTATGGACATTTCATTGTCATGTATAATCACACCATGAATACCATTTGATATTTATATATTCGTGATGGAAAGCCACCTTTGCAGACCAAATCTAATGTAGAATTAAGACCCAAAACTTACAAGTCAATTTAATTGTTTTTGTGCATTTCATTTAATCTTAATTTGCAAACAAATACAAGATGAAATAACCTACTAATTTATTTCATATGATAATATTTATTTTCATGTACTAATTGTTGTTGTTGTTATGGCCTCACTATCCATATCTATAAATTATAATTCATGGAGAATCAGATTGCAAGGTGCATGTGAAAGTCAAATTATTTGAAACGGAAAAAGATAATAATCTTTACATAAATTGGAAATCGTATCGACCAATAACAATCTTGTATTCAAGTATCATACAATACAATCGTTTTTAAACATTGCAAACTAATTAATATATAAATATATAAAATTTCAATTGTTTGAAAATTTTAGGAAAAATACATAACATAACGAACTAATTTATAAAAAATTTGACATTAGCCAAAAAATCAAATGTAGTGACAGAGACAAAATGTGTAGGACTGAAGAATATTCAAAATACTCTGCGAGAAGAAGAAGGTTTGACATTATTTATTTTTTTTGTCGTTTTGCAATTTTTTTTTAGGCGCGTATTAGAAAAATCAAACAGAAGTGCTATGTTGCGGGTCCAAAGCGAGTCCGTAACACAAAAACAAAACGCGTCGTTTCGGTCAATTCACTTGGATCATTTCCATGGAAAGTTTGAATGACAAACTTTATTATTTGAGCTCAATAATTCATACACGATTGTAAAATATTTAATTGGGAATGTATGTCTTTTTTTTTTATCTTTTTCAAAATTGTGCATAAAATAAATTAGAGAAATTTGAGCGTTTCTGCCAAAATTTGATAATTTATGAAGTGGATGAGAATTACCAGAATATATATATATATATATATATATATATAAAACTGAAAAATCGTAATAATTGAAATAATGAATTTACAATTTTACCATCAGCCAATCACTATATCTATATGTATATATAAATAATTAAATATATATGCGAGAGATGTAGACAATAAAGAAATTACGAGATTTCGAATTCTCTCTTCCTCCTTTGTGTTACTAGACTACAGAGGATTCACGTGTTATTCAACGTATGACACAATAATATTGGGTTACAAAAAGAATGTGTAAACATATATATACGCACAATATACTCTTAATGGGTATAAATGAATTTCATTTGTGAATTTGTTATTGGATAAATATTTCAAATTTCAATTTGACCTTTTTTGCTTTGCTTTTTTCGGAAATATATGTCAATTCGAGTTTTATATGAGATTCTGATTTTATTCCATTTTAATTTTAATTAAAAACGTATTTTTTTTTATAAAACTATTTGTTCAAAAATTTTATTATTTTTCTAATCTAATTTTATTTAGATTTTCTAAATTTAAAAAACCTCAAACTTTCAACTCTCTATAAGTTCGATTCGAATCCAATTTTTTGTTATTCATTATGGAATTATTCCATTTTGATGACTTGGACTGAAACGTATATATATATATATATATATATATATATATATGCACGCATTTAGGATATTTATTACGCGGGCATAACCTCAGGCTGACCTGATAATTAAAATAAAATGTATTTCAAGACTATAGAATATGATGCGTGGTGTTTGTGTGATTGGTCAAAGTTGAAATGATTTTATAAGATATGTTTACTTTTGTAATGTCCTATAGCATCCGCGTCATCCTTAAAATGACAAAATCATTCATAATTATTATGTATGGATGCCACTTTCGAGTCACTATACTAATTAATTTTGGAAAATATTCTTTTAATTCATGCTTATTTTGCAATTAATTTGACAACTAAATTTTTAATAGTGGAATACTTTTGCCTAACGGTGTGTTTGGCATATATTTTATTCTCATATTTAAATATACAAATAATGTCTAAACAAAACTGTTCGTTTTATTATAAAGGATAATGTAATAAATTTACATAAAATTTTGATTAAGTTATATTGAGAATGAGCGTATGCATGTAATTCGGGTAAAATCTCAAACTTTATTCATAGAAAAATTAACCCCACAACTTCTTTGTGTTTTAAAATTAAATAAAAAAGCTACATCTATTTTTTGGGATGATTCTAATTGGTTGAATGTTTGATACCCAATCATTTTGTGATCCATTTGTAACACTTATTAGACAACATTTAAATTAAATGCCACGTAATCCGGATAAGAAAAAGAAGTAAAGGGTAGTGGAGGTTGGTGGAAAAAGGCTACTTTGGGAGTGTAAGCAGAAAATAAATAACACGTCGTTGATCGATATTTTTTTAGGATATTAATTTTAATTTAAATTGTTTAGAATATCATTTGATATCTTGTTATTTTATTATATTGATACCATATACGTGAATATGAGCATTGCTTTGGTGTTCAAGTTATTTATTTTTTGTAATTTCTCTTCTTCCACCATCTATTATTTTATCTTTTATATCATTTTTATTTGATATTAAATAAAATAAATATTAATATATAATAAATTAAATAGGAATTTTATATCAACGTGCCTAGATTATTTGTTGACCATTGAATCATCAATTGTCTGTAGAGCATACAATCGGTAAATTTTAAACGATGAAATTTTGATTTTTTGTCTTTATTTCTGTCTTTGTTCTCATTTGTTTTTAAAATTCTTTGGTAAAATGAATCCAACACTTGTAAAAATAAAAAAAAAATTGTAGGGTTAAGTGATATAGAAGTTAATTGTAAGAACTACCGGTGGAGAGGAGAGGAGATGCACAATTAATTACGTAATTAAAAATTAATTCCGGATCCAAAAAATAAATCTTTTGGTTATAAAAAAAGAAATTAATTGTAAGAAAGAAAGAAAAATCGATTTTGGGCGGTGCCAGAATCATCTGCACGCGGATCTACCACATTCCCACTATGCCCGCAGCTTATAATTACTATTTCCCTTTTCAGCCTTTTTCGGATTTTGGGAGCTTTATCTTCCATTTTTCTTAATTATTAAAACGAAACAAATGAACCGACCAATTACAGCACTGCTTTCATTATCACCACACTCCAATGATTATTAACTGTATTTCTTTTTAAAGTTTAGCTTTATCTTTGCAATATTAATTATATATATATATATATAACATCAACTCAAGCGTATATAAACTTTTATTTAATAAAATAGACCTTTTACTATTATATATGTACATTTAGAGAATGTATTGGACTAAATTAGTACGATAATTATTAGAATTTAGTCCATCAGTTTATATTGAGAAAAAAATTACTGATTTTTTGTATTATTAAATAAAAGTTTCGAATTCGGGAAAATAAATAACTCCGAAATAATCATTTGTTTCTAATGCGGAGTTAATATTTTAAATGTCGGCAGGTTAGTGAATGCATGATGTGTCAAATTTTCTTCAAATTGCGATAATTTGATTGGTGACTTGTTTAAGTGAAGTTAGAGAACTTAAAGCTATATTGAAACTTAGGGTTCAAACGTGACACGTGGCATTAAACGCGAAAAGTCAAATAAAACTCCATGAGAGCCACTAATGGAATTGCTCTGCCATCCTTCTCCTTTCCACATGCTCCGTGTAACAATTTCGATGGTCTAAGTAAGTACATGTATTTTCATATATGTGTAAATGGATCGTTGGTCGAAATAGTTTATTATAATTGAGTTATATAAATTAAATTATCATTTTTTTTGGTCGAATCATGAAATATATCATTTTGGGTTCTCGGTAGGTGCAAATAATAATTATAAGAGCTTTTACATTCAATGAGAAGAAACCCTACACATACATCGCGACGTGTCCTAATTAGAGCTTTTGGTTCTCTATGTGCTTCTACTTGGTTCGTGAAATGATTGTCACCAACTTCAATTACATGATATCGTTTTCATCGGCACTCGATATGGTTCTTTTAGTTATCTTTCATGGATACACCGTCTCTCACACTTGCATATATACACATACATACACTCGTGCGTGTGCGGTATATATATATATGTATATATGTACGTATAGACAGGGTGAGTGGACTTGTGGACATGGCAGGAGGGACAGAAAGAGATGGGGGAGGCAGATAATGATGATACTGTCTTCCATTTTGGCCGAAGCAAATGCGTGGATTTTGTTAACATTGTGACACATGCCTTTGTATATATCACATTCGACTTCCATTTTTAAGAGCATTATAAATAACTAAAAAACTATATATACATCTCCCAACAAAAACCGTAGTAAAAAAAATAAGAATCTCTTTCGTACGTTACATTTTGCAAAATCCCCTTTAAAGAAATAGGAAAAAAATTATTAAAATTAAAAAATACTATAATTTTTTCATTTATAAAACCAAACATAATATAACTTCACAAATGTTAAATTGCTATGTGTATGTATATCAATATATGTGTATGTAAAGAGTATGTATATATATACGCGTAATGCATCTTTATTATGTGGAATCTTCGATTCAATTGTATTGTGGTTCGGATAAAAAAAATGTGACTTAGATATTAGTTTTTTTTTTTTTAACCAGGAGGTTCACTTGGGCCTTCGCCCAATCTACATCCCCCTAGGCCCGGGAGCAGCCTTTAGAGGCCCGGCGACAGGGGTCCAAAGAGCAACACCCTCTCAACCGAGAAATACCCCCTCCCTCCCCATCAGCTGGTTTCGAACTGGCGACCGGAGCCCAGAGAGCAACACCCTTTCGCCATTCGGCCACCCACTGATGGGTTAGATATTAGTTACCTTCACTGTTAAATAATTTTGTTTCAACCGACCAATATATAGTATGTGTATATTTATTTTTATCCTAAATAGGTTTTTTTATTATTGTATCATAATATGGCAATGAAAAGGTGGCAGACATTTTTAACACCTCATATTTGAATTTATCTGATAAAAAGTTAAAAAACAATAACAATTTTATCAATAAATATATGGTCGACAATTAATTTTAAATCATTAGATTAAAAATTCGAGAGTTTCATTATTAAAAAATAGAATTTTAAAAGGCGCTATATAGTGTTAGAGAGCCATAGTTTCACGACACATAAGTTTTTTGCTTTTGTGACTCCTTATATCTTTTTAAATTTTATATAATTGTTTTGTTTCCTTTTATAGGGTTTGTCGTCAAGCTTTTATCATGGGAGGTTTGAGCTTTGGTTCGTCGAGTTGGTAAAGTTGGTTGTGTTTGGCTTATTCAACTATCTTTTAATTATTTTAGTATACCATTTGGATAATTCATCATTTCGTTAATTTATTTTTAAAAAATCCAAAAAATTGATTATAACAATCGATATCGAAAAATATTTCTTTCATGTCATGCTTACATAATTTACGCATAAAAAAATCCTATAATGTTTTGAAAAGAATTACTACATCCTCGAAACTTTTGGTACACGTATATACACGCGCGCTAATGTAAATCTAATATTAACTAATTATTATCTGCTAAAATAAGGATTTTATTAGGAGTGCAAATACTCGCCTAATTAGGATTTACTACATAATGTCTTGCATTTTTATGTCATATATATAATGATTTCAGTTAATAATATATATATATATATATGTAGTTTAAGTTGTCATATTTATCTTCACATATATGTATACGACAATTTTACATCCGAAAATGAGTTGAATCAAAATTAAAAATTAGTGTATTAATTACTTCGATAAATATTTGATGTACAGTATAGACAAGTGATCACAAGCCGTGAAGAACGTCTTTGTTTCCTTTTTTTTTTCCGAAATAACGCATAAAAAGACGAAGTAATTATGTCAAAATGACATGGCATCGTCATCTATGACGTTATATTTATGTGTGCGTACATATATATATACATACATATATATATATACATATATAATTGTTGTATCGAATTGAGTTTCATGTGAGTTGGAAAATGAGTTGTCGCATACTCTTTGGAGACACAAAGTGGGGGGGAGATGGTGTGATGCCGAAATTCATAACGATGACGAAAAATGATAAAACTTAAAACACATGGCAAAGCCATATACTGTTACATCTACATATGTTCCCATTTACCTAGATTCTGTCTCATTGGGATCTGGAGGGTTGGCTTTTGCATATTGTTTGGCTGTATCTGTGCGTTTTGAGGGTTTTGGCATTGAATGGCTACATATTTGTGGCAGGTGGGTTGCTTTAAATGTTTAGCTAAAGAAACAAGAATGGTGGTTTATGCTATAATTTATTAAAGGATAAAAAATCCAGCTTGGGTTCTTCGTTTTGTAGTTAAAAAGAAAGAGCAGAAATCTGACAAGAATATAGTTGTTTTTAGATATGGCACTTGTAATGGTTTGTGGCAAATCTGCTTCAGGGATCTAGAGTTCAAGGTTTTTGGTGCATACCAACCAATAGACTGAACATACCATAGACATATGTGGTGATTTTATATATAGTGTGTGTGAAAAACCAAAGCCACGTTTTGGTGTCTTAAATTTTTCAAAACTTATGACATGCTATAGTGCGAAATCAGAATTTATGATGACTCTATTGAATGCATAGTAAATGATATGATTATTTCTATTGAAATGGAAAAATAACTGGTGATTTGTATCCAGAATAATCTTTATATTATTCTAATTAAAATCCATGACTTTTTAAAATATTATATAAGAAATGCCATCATAAAGATTATATTATTTAATACTTTTTTCACCAATATTTTCCTTTGTTCTCACCTTTAAAAAATTTAAAATCTGGATTAAATTTAATCCGAAGGCAATTTTTTTTATATATAAAATTATTTATTTATTTTTTAGGGTTTCAAAATGCCGACGCTGGCTCGTATATTGGGCCCACGCCTTTAGAATTTTGTTTTGGGCTTAACACGATTTTATTGGCGCCCATATTTGTAAAACGGCATGCAGTTTCGTGAACGGAAGTCAAAAGCCTGGATGGTCTATGTTGTATTGGGCCTATAGGTAGGCCCATTAATTATATTGTGAGGCCGATAAGCGAAATATTAGTATTTGGTATAGGCCCAATATGCTTTGGGCTAGGCCTATGCTCGGAAATGAAAACCTAGATGAGCCCATGTAAGAGAATTAATTCGAGATAGATAGAGCAATTTAATTAGAAAATAAAAAAAATCTTTTAGTTTTTGGCCAAAATAAAACAATGTATCTTCCATAGGAATACAATTCTTGGTATATGGTCTTTTTTCAAAGCATATAAAATATCAATTTAAGAGATTTAGGTATAAAATTAATTTTCTTATGAAAATGTTTTTTTTTTGTGTGAATTATTTAGAATTTACACAATTGGACAGGCACAATATACACGCACATACACATAATATTATTAGAGTGTATATAAGAGAGAGAAACAAACAAAAGAGAGGCAACGGCTATTTCGCAATTACCAAGTTTTACCACTGTCATATTTGGCACTCCAATGCCAATACCCAACACCAAGAAAGTTGTGTCCTAAGCGCTCTCTCTCTCTCTATATATATATATATATGTATATATATATCATTCATGCGTCTAAAAGTTGTGATTGTAATATATTTTTTATGGCATACCAAACATTCAAATTTTTATATATGTATATATATATAAATGTATAATATCTGCGTCTAAAAATCGTGAGCGAGTGATTATAAATTTTATGACATATTACCAAACATCAAAATTTTGATATATATAAAAAGGAAATTTAATTTTAGTTCGAAATAAAAGCTCATGAATGATGATAAAATATTAAAAATATATAATTATGAATTGGATTTACTCCGTGTAGTTTCTATTTGAAATTTATAGAAGACCGTTGGATTTCTCTCTCTCTTAACTCATTTCGAAATCTGAAGAAGACATCTACACCGTCCATTTACTGTAACATCTCTCTCTCTCTCTCTCTCCCCCTTTCGAAATCACCAATTTCCTAACCTTTTCTTCGTACTTTTTCCCCTGATGTCTACAACTTTACCCTCGATTTCTCTCCATTTCTCCTTTTTTTTTTGGGTCGGATCCCATCTTTCCCTTTTCTGAGGTTTTATTCCTCGCAAAGTCTCAGTTTTTAGACACCCATTTCGCTCCTCTGTTTCTTGTCTCTTCGGGTTTCCTCGGATTCTCAAAAGGTCGACCCTTTCCATGGCTCTTCATCTCCATCTTCTTTCTCTTGTCCTTGTTCTTGCTGCAGCTTCTTCGCGGGTGTCAGCTGATGAAGGTGAGTTCATGTTCATGTATGTGCGTATGTCTCTATTTCGATAAATTTGTTTCGGCGTGTTTTGATCTTGAACTTGGGATTCGCTGCTCGAGAATCGCACGGTTTCGAGTTTAAAATCCAGTTTCAGCCCCAAAATCAATGGAAGAGAGAAGAAACTCTTTCCCTCTTTTCTTGATGTCTGAACTAGGGAAGTGAAATCTCCTTGCATGTCTTCTTCTGGAACCTAAGGAGCTCAAACGTTTTCTTTTGGGGCACATTTGTTTAGTAAGATTCCGACATTTAAGAGGTTGATCTTCCAAATTAACTGATATTTAAATACTTAGAACACCTAATGACAAGAACTTGAGTTTCTCTGTAAGCTTTCTGGGATCTGGAGGGTTGGCTTTTGCATATTGTTTGGCTGTATCTGTGCGTTTTGAGGGTTTTGGCATTGAATGGCTACATATTTGTGGCAGGTGGGTTGCTTTAAATGTTTAGCTAAAGAAACAAGAATGGTGGTTTATGCTATAATTTATTAAAGGATAAAAAATCCAGCTTGGGTTCTTCGTTTTGTAGTTAAAAAGAAAGAGCAGAAATCTGACAAGAATATAGTTGTTTTTAGATATGGCACTTGTAATGGTTTGTGGCAAATCTGCTTCAGGGATCTAGAGTTCAAGGTTTTTGGTGCATACCAACCAATAGACTGAACATACCATAGACATATGTGGTGATTTTGTTCTAAACTTAGCTCGAAATATCATGTCCAAATCACCTAGTAGCGAAGAGATCTACTGTCGTAAAGGGTAAATCTTGTTGCTTTCTTTACTCCACCTTGCCGAAACCGCGGTTGAGAATATCCTGAAATTCATTTATAGTTTTGTTAAGTTTTTGTTACAGCCCCAACATCAGAAAGTGTGTTTTAGGTTGCGGTTATGGCCTTGGCCATTTCGTTCTGAAGTGCCTGATCTTTTGCGAAGTCATAGCGTTATACCATGATCTGGTTTACCATGTTCGCAATTGCATCCGGTTTTGCAGTACCAAGTATCTTGGCATCTTACTTTGATATGAATGATGCCTTTTCATGTCATTGGAAGTAAAAAGGTTCGGTCTTTAACCAGTATGTCTTGTGTTTTACCTTTTCTTTCATTGCAGGAGCCTTCATAGGAGTGAACATAGGGACAGATCTCTCTGACATGCCGCATCCAACACAAGTTGTAGCTCTTCTCAAGGCTCAGCAAATCAAACATATCCGCCTTTATGATTCTGACCCAGGAATGCTGATTGCCCTTTCAAACACTGGCATCAAAGTGGTTGTCTCAGTTCCTAATGATCAGCTCCTAGGAATCGGTCAATCAAATTCCACCGCTGCCAATTGGGTCAAACGCAACGTCATCGCTCATTACCCTGCCACGAATATCACTGCCATTGCTGTAGGCTCTGAGGTTCTGACCACTCTTCCCAATGCTGCTCCTATTCTGGTGAATGCTATTAAAAATATTCACTCGGCTCTACTCTCTGCAAATCTTGATGGTCGGATAAAGGTTTCTACTCCATTGTCCACCGATTTGATCCTCGACCCTTTTCCTCCATCACAAGCCTTCTTTAACCGCTCATGGAATCTGGTTCTGGTCCCCTTGCTAAGCTTCTTGCAGTCCACGGATTCATATCTCATGCTCAACGTGTATCCTTACGACGACTATATGCGATCAAACGGAGTGATTCCTCTGGACTATGCCCTATTCAAACCAATCCCTCCGAATAAAGAAGCTGTGGACTCTAACACACTTGTTCACTACTCAAATGCCTTTGATGCTGTTGTTGATGCTGCCTATTTCGCCATGGAATTCGTCAACTTCACTAAGATTCCTGTCGTGGTGACTGAATCGGGTTGGCCTTCAAAGGGTGATTCCAACGAGCCGGATGCCACTCTTGAAAACGCCAACACATACAACAGCAATCTTATCAGACATGTACTGAACAAGACAGGAACTCCCAAGCGTCCGGGAATTGCAGTGAGCACTTACATTTACGAGCTCTACAACGAGGACACGAAACCCGGACCGCTGTCTGAGAAAAATTGGGGACTGTTTGATGCGAATGGTGACCCGGTCTACATTCTACAGTTAACTGATTCAGGGTCGATTTTGGCAAATGACACGACCAACCAGACATACTGCACTGCAAGAGAAGGGGCTGACCCGAAGATGCTTCAAGCGGCTCTTGACTGGGCATGTGGCCCGGGGAAGGTAGATTGCTTGCCAATAAAGCAAGGAGAGGCTTGCTATGAACCGGATAATGTGGTTGCACACGCGAATTATGCATTTGATACATATTATCATAAGATGGGGAACAATCCGGATGCCTGTAATTTCAACGGTGTTGCTTCCATCACAACAACAGATCCAAGTAAGCTTTTCGTTTGAATCGGACTTCTTTTTGAACGTTTGATACAACTACGTCTTGACGCTTTATCTGATCTTTGATCGAATGCAGGTCATGGTTCATGCGTGTTTGCCGGAAGGTAATTATCATAAGATGGGCTACTAAGTTATTGCCACTTAAGCATCAAAGCTGTAAGCTTTTAGTAAAAGAAACACAAAAGATTCAAACTTTGATATCTTTTTAACTATTTTCCAGCCGCGGAGGTGGAAGGAACGGAACATTGGTCAACATAACAGCGCCGTCCATGAATTCCACGAGTTCGGGGTTCAATACCGGCATGTTTTATAGTCGGGGTATGTCGAACGTATTAACTGTGATTCTGAGTCTGATCTTCTTGTGAAAATTCTTGTGGGGGCATTGGCGCATTGGAGTATCTTGGTTATGTCAGAAAGCTTTTGGCCGGAATGTCCAGGTCTCAATTGGTTTGGTGTAGTATTAGTGGTTGGAGTAGATTTGCAAGGAGATTGTGATGAATGATGATTCAATTTTGTATACAGAATCTGAAACATTTGGGTTATTTTCCTCTGTTCAAAGTTGTTTTGTTGTTTCTAACTTTCACAAGATTGCCGTCGAAAAAGGCATATAGCAGGACTCTTATAATGTTCTAGCACTGTAATTAGGGTTTTAGGGTAGAAGGGACATCATGACATGAAATTACAAAGATACCCGCTGGACGAGTCAGAGGGTCCAGGGAGTGTATTTTGGGGGTTGGATGTCACGAAGTGACTTCCACACAACGCTGTTACACTTGAACCCTGACCCGAAAGCCATCTGCCAAACCCTATCCCCTCGCTTCATCCGTTTCTTGTGCTCCAAGTAAGCCAGCTCATACCAGATGCTACTGCTCGACGTATTCCCAAACCGTCTCAACGTCATCCTCGACGCCTCCATGTACTCTTCCGTCAAGTTCAAGTTCTTCTGGATCTCGTCTAGCGCCTTTTCGCTCGATGCCAACACGCAAAGATGCTCGAAGGCTAGCTTGTAGTTTGGGATGTAGGGTTTCTCAGAAACCGACGACAGTAGCTTGGCGAAGAAGTGAGCTTGCTCGGAAACTGGCAGTACCAGAGGCCCTAGCGTCGTGATATTCGCTTTCAGAGCGTGGCCGCCGACTTCTATAACGTCTTTCGATACGTACAGGCCTTGCTTCCCTCCTTCGTCTTCCCTAAGCTGTATGCTCTTGTTGCTCTTCTCGTCCATTCCCTTGTGCGTTCTCACAAGCTGTTTTCAGATCATATTTATTATTTGAGTTTTCATAAAACCAAATCCCTAAAAACCCGAAACCATCTTACAAAACCGAGTTTTTTTCAATGTAATGTTCAAGAAAAAGGAATCCGAACCTGCTTGAGTTCATACTTGGCACGCCACCTATCAAGACGTCGACTCGAGAGCAAGATAGCGGCGGCTCCCATCCGAAAGAAGCAATTCGGCATGAGAAGATCGAGATTGTTGCCGGAATACCAAGTGGAACTGACAACCTCAGTGCTCACGACCAACGCATAAGATCCGAGATGGGCATTCAACAGATCTTTGGCCAAATCAACGGCTATGATTCCGGCGGCACACCCCATTCCTCCGAGGTTGTAGCTCTCGGTGTTATGCCTCAGCTTGTAATGATTGATCACCATCGCCGACAGGGAAGGCGTCGTGTTCAGGACACCGCAGTTCAGGACGAGGATCTTGATGTTCTTGACGGAGACGCTGGTGGCGGCGAGGAGATCGTTGATGGCTCCGAAGATAACCATGGCGGCTTCTTCACGGCCGTCACGGAGGTTGACGGTGTGGCCCGGCTCGAATATCACTCTCGGGAGATAGCTCTCGTCTCCTATCCCCGATTTCTCGAGCACTCGCTGTTGGTACTCGATGGCCGTTTCGTCGAAGTGGCCGGATTTTCTCGCCAGCTCGATGAATTCGGCTTTCGATATCTGTTTCGAAAGAGAATTGATGACGATCCATCATCCCAACGCCTCAAGAATCTTTCTATTTTTTTTAATCCTTAGCTCAGACAATGAATAAGACATTGTAAAATGTAAAAATTTAATTCGTAGGATGAGAAATTCAGCTAAATTACTTAAAAACCCTATATAATATTTATAAGGGCGTTTTTACACAAAAAAAAAAATATTTATAAGGGCACTATTGGAATTATTTGTATTTAACGTTTTCATCTACCTATATAATGGCCAATAATGTTATAATCTGCTCCTCGTCACTCTCGTATACTACGCACAAAAACTGTTTCCCAATAATTTAATGGCCAATAATGTTATAACATATAGGTGTAATAAACTTATATAATGCTTTAATGGCTGCATATATACATAACGATTTAATTTAGGATATAAAATGGTAAATATAATTATAATTCAATGTTAAAGAGTGGGATGACGTGGAATCACCTTGAGGTGATGGGGAGGGCGGTAACAGGCGAAGTCGACGAGATACACGGAACGAGGAGAGATGGAAAGGAAGAGATAGAGGAAGACGAAGGACAAGGAGAAGATGGGGAGGGTGAGCATTCCGAGGCGGAAGGCAAAGGCGAGGAGGAGGAGGAGAAGGGGGAGGGCGAAGAAGAAGAAGGAGTGTCCGTACGTCAGAAGGTATACGTATCCGAGCCGTACGTATCTCAGGTTCACCGAGCTCAGAAAATCCGGCAACCCTCTTCGAACCCTAACCCTAAAACTCGGAGATCCTTCGTGAACTCCATCGTTCACGATCTCCGTGGACAATACTTCGCCATTTCTCTCCATTTCTCCTTTTTTTTTTGGGTCGGATCCCAAGAGATTGCATGAGATTTTCATGTAAGTGCATGTTGACGTCGAATATATATAAACAAAACATATGTGTATATATGCGTGTATGTATATGTATATGTATATGTATGTAGAAATGGATTGATGTCAGACAAATTAAAGAGGTTGTCTTTGGTGCATGACTTCGTCAAACTGGCTGGTCCTTAGCAATCACACAATACGTGTGTTTTTTGTTCCCAATTAGGGCATTAATAATTTAATAATCACACAATTAGGGCATTGTTTCTAAATCTGAGGTTCAATCCGGTTTTCTAATTTTTTTTATTATATTCTTAGATTTTTTTAAAAAAATTTTGTTTTCCAAAAAAAAAAAGAAAAAGACATGAAAGTCCGAAATATTACATATGCGTTTCGATTGCATAAAAGTTTAATTATGAATAAAGACTCAATATCATGTTTTTGGATAGTAGCTTATCTATAACTCTTTTTTAATAAAATAAATACATTTCTTCGTTCAATGCGACAAAAAAAAAAGGTTAAATATCAGATTCTGAACTGGTTTGTAAGATTATGACACGTGACAAAAATGGGCCCAGAAAACGTAACCCATGTAAGGGAAATTCAAACTGGGCCTCATACATATTTGTGTTTCAAATGGGCCGGTGAGACCTGGTCCAAAGGCATGTGATTGTGAATTATTGGAGATTTTTCTTTCGATTTCACTCAAATTAAAATTTATCATTTTATTTTCATTTCCAATTTATCTCTCCATTGAAAATAATAAAATCAGAAACTAGTTTAATGCCTAAAGAAACTTAATTACGATGAACAATTAGAAAAAAAAAAAGATCATTTAGAAAGCATCAATGATTTTCGATGGCATATGTAGATTAATACGAATAATAGAATGATTTTTCACCAAAATAATAAAATGATCAAAAGCTATTTTTTGTTTGAAAATTTTATTTTCAAATTTTTTATTTGTAGTTTTAATAACATATATATAATTATTTTTTAAAAATCATTCTTTTTTAAATCAAAATTTTATTTGTATTAAAAATATTGAACTTATAAAACTATTTGTATTTATGGCGATATCCCCAAAAATTAATGTACTTTTATGGCGATATCCCCAAAAATTAATGTACTTTTTTAAAACTATTTGTATTTATAATTGAATTTTAATTAATATAATTTTAAAAGTCACATTCAGTTAATTTTTATATTTTAAAGTAAATTTAATTTCTATACGATCTTATTTCATTCAATTTAATTCGGATATATACATATGCGCTCCCTAGTTAAAACACAAAACCCTTTGCCACAAAACCCTACGCTTACATCTCGTCATCTTCGTTTTGTTCGCAACCCTAAAAAGAGCTCAGCTCAGACGAATGATCTGTCTCAGCATTTCATCTTGATCTTAGCCCGCCTCTTCCTGTTCTTGGCAGAGCGCATCGTCCCCAGATTTTTCCGGATTCGAGAAAAAAGAGGGGAAATTTTGCCCTGTTTTCGATCGTTGATGGGTTCCCGTGGATGTTCCATTCAAGCATGATCACTCAAACTATGCGGAATCTCAAAATCTCACTTGCCAGATTCTCGAATCGCTCCTCCATAACCGGTAAGAGTTTTTCCTCCACTTTGATCGGATCTCAGCAAGAACTTTTTACCCCAAAATCTCGATTCTTTTTCGTAGAAACAGTACTTTTTTTTTGGGAAGAATTATTCTGGTGAAAGCCTTATAGTGTCTGCTAGGTTCAGGAATTTGGTGTCGAGGACTGTTGTTGAGTGCCACCATGGGAGGTCCTACGCTTCCTCCTCCGTTGCTTCTCAGATGGCATCCATGTCCAAGGTTGGGACAAGGCTCTCGAGGGACGAGCGTCGAGCTCTGGTGGTGTCTTTCGTGACCAGGTAACTCAGATTCTGGACAACATTTGTTTAGATTCAGACAAAGCAAGCTTTGCCCTAGTCGAATTCTTAGACAGATACTCCCACTATGCTTCAGATATAGAGCAACTAATGGAGGAAAGTTCCCTAACCTTAAAGCTACTCACAAGGAAGTAGGAGGCAGTTATTACATCGTCAGGGATATTTTTCAAGAACTGAAATTCGAGTCCCAAACTCCTTCCGTGAGCTCCGCTCAAGATCTCTCCATGGAAATAGTAGCTTCCGAAAACAGTGATTCATCACTGGCTATGAACGAATCAGATACTGATGGCCACTCCCGAAATCCTGCCCATGATGTAAGATCTTCTTCTGTGGTTGTGAGTATCTTGTTTTTTCTCCCATCATCTACTGGTCATTCATGTGAGTTCACTTGACGGATTACCCTTGCGTATGCTTACAGGTCGGTGGTACTGATGTTGTTGAGGCAGAAGCTAATTGTGTGACGGGTGATGTAGATGTCTCTGATCCTGGTTCGGATAAAAGTAGCGATACTTCTGTCATTATTGCGAAAGTTGATGAATTGCGTAATAGAGGCATGGAAACGATGCCTCAGAATGGTGTTGAAAGTAAAGGGGATAGCATTGACCATCTTCCCAGTGATAATAGTCAAAGTGATGTAGTTTCAGATGCTTGCTTCGAAAATGCAGATCCTGAAAAAGAACCGAGCTTGTCTGAAAACTTCAAGACATGCGAAGGTCAGAAAGTGGACGAAGAAACACACACAACATCGTATCCAGTCTCTGAAAATCCTAAAGATAACACGAAGACCGAAAACTCAATGCACTTAGGTGGTCAGGAATCGAAAGGAGACCATATTCCTCTTGAAGCAGAAAACATGGCCAGGTAACTTGTGGGATGAAACTTGATTCATATCGGTCTGCTCATCTTGAGCCCGTTATATCGGTATATCTACACTGTGATTATATCTGTTCTCGTTACAGGGAAGAAGCTTTGGATGGAGGGGCAGGTGAGGTGAAAACAAAGAGACAAGGAAGTGTTTGGAGCAACCTAAAGTGGATGGCCGAGGGAATCATGAGCTTTTGGAGAAAAGGGTAGGTAGTATAGTCAGATGAAACACCACCAGGGTTAAGCTATTGTTCCTCTTAGTGTAGGAAAATTGCCCATTGAGGAAAGATCAAAGCTTGAGACATACTTGGAAAGGATATAGGTTAGATCGGGATAATGTAAAACAGTGGTTGTGATTTTTGGAATATACATATGATTGTTATGCGAACCATTATCACTCTTTGTGCACATCATTTGTGACAGAGACATTGTTTCTTGATTGTCTGAAACAATGTCTCTGTCTTGACATTGTTTCTTGATTGTCTGAATACACGACAGAGAGAACAAAGCTCATAAGAGATATTATTACTTGGAGATACAATTCTTTTAATGGGGATTTGGGGATGGAGATGGAGATGGAGATGGAGAAGAGAGAAGGGCGGAGAAGAGTTTATCGGCTAGGATTTGATTGGCCGCATCCGACGGATGAAATGCGTCCCAAAATACATAGTCTTTTCGATTACCACAAAGCTTTGAACTCGGAAGACATAACCCTCCAATGCTTGTGTCCACGTTGCAGCACGACTTGTCCGATATCTTAAACCCTGCATTTTTTTAATTAATTTTATTTTAATTTACCTTAAAATATATGCGAAACGATTTAATTCCTTCAATTTCGGGTTTATATGGTGAAATTAACAAAAACGAATATTTACCGTAACGGATGGGATGGTCGATGAGGTCGAGAACGGCGGGGTAAGTGTCGGCGAACACGAATTTAGCTCCGGGGAGATGTTTGTTGAGTTCTTCTAGAAGCTTCTGAGATCTCGAGTTGAATTGTAGGACCCACTCGTTTACACGTGTGAGGCACGTGCCCTTCTTGGATTTGACTCTCTGTGAAGGGATGCAGCCCAATGGGCCTAAACCGTGGAATACCAACTTCCTCGCTCCCAATCGGTACAGTTTCTGGTTCGTTACGTATACCGACCGGTTTAGAAAGGATTTATTATGTAATTGATGAGATTAAAAATGGTGAAAATTTTGGTACCGTGAGCTGAGTATTTAGGGTTGAAACAAGAAGTTCTACGAAATCATCGTGTGTGTATTGCTGCCCATCTGCCATGAATGGCTGCAAGAAATTGTTCACATAATCATTGCTTCCTATTCCCAACACAACGAAAATAAAATTAAAAATTAGTGGTTATTTTTTTAAAAAATATTTTCAAAAAAAAAAGTGTTGCAAATATTAGAGGGAGAAGAAAAAATTAAGTTAAATTACCAATGCCGATGAAGAACATGGCATCATTAACATGCTTGTTGGCTGCGGTATCTCCGATTTTGGATCTAATTATTTCTTTCGTCTTTTTAAAATAATTTATCTGATCGTCAAATGTCATTCTTTGTATCTGTTACACAAATTTGTTAATATAATTAAATGAAAAAAATATATTTATTAGAGAGGGAATGAGTTTGGAGAAGAAAAAAAAGGGAAATTACGAAATAAAGGCCGGTCTCGTTGAGAATTCCAGCTCCTCCGGAGGCGTAGTTAATTCCGCTGAGAAACGATGCGTCGTCGTTTTGTGACAGCGACAGATAAGGCGGCGGCGATGGAATCCCAAGCTTCTCAGCTGTTCTTATTATATATTTATATAAAATAAATAAATATACATTTACACACATTAAAAAGGTTAAAATGAGAACAAATAAATCTCATGAAGCTTCGTTGTTAATCCATACCGAATATATATGATTATAAATTATAATGATACCGTAATCTAATGCTTAATTAAGCATTAGTTCTAAACTATTTGTTTTCGATTATGGTTATTATAATAATAAAATTCGAAACAAAAAAAATCATGAAAGAGTGAAAAGAGAGAGAGCACTGGAAGAGTGTAATATATCAGTACATATGATATCACCGATGGTCCTGCCGTTGGTGAATCTGCCGGTGGCCTTACCGCCGGGAAAATCGACACCGTACCATTGATAATCCGATCTCGCTAGCGAATACTGCAAGTGATTATTGTTGCCCACTTCCGTCAACGAGTCCCCGAAAATGTACGTCACGAGTGATGCGGCCGAGGCCGAGCCCGAGCCCATGACGGCGGCCAAGATCACGACGGCGCCGGACACTGTTAGGTTCTTCCTCATTTTGTTTTAATCTTAAACCGCTTCGGACAATCTGGAAGCGTGTCTTTCTTGAGGTTATATATAGTGAAAAAGGATTGATTATTTTGTTATTTATTTTGTATTAATTTTCTCAATAATGCCCATTTCTCCAAGTTTTTTTTTTAACATATTAGGTAAAGTGTGTGAGTGCATGGAATATTCTTACCAAAATAAAATAAAATAAAAAAACTTTTTTGAGTTTTTGGTTATTGCATGCATTGATTTTTGGTCCGTTTACTTGTATTTGAGTAAGTTTAATTTTCACAAGTTATTATGGATTTGGTGGGTAACACAAATATCCGTGAGAGTAGTAAAGCAGTTGGCCAACGGACGTCGGCTAGTCACAACCGTCTAGATTTATTTGGTTTGGTTCCATGCATAGATAATATTTACCGCTGTAAAAATATATAACCCACTCCTTTAAGTAATATATATATATATATTAGTTTATGCATTAATATTATTTATTAGAACAAAATTATGAAACATTGTATATATATTGATCATACAATATGATTTTTGGTCCAATAGACATCCTGCTTTTTACTATAACCTTTTTTACATTTTTATTACTCTTATGAATTGAGTTTTGAGAGGTTTTTAACACTTCTAGTCAGATAGGAAACACAAGTAATTACCAATATCAAATCTCGTAAACGCATTTACATAAGTTTTTTCACCAAAAACACACACACTTTACATATGTTTTTTTTCCGCAGATTGTTGAACCGATTTTTGTGGAAAATATTGGAGGATTGAGTGTGTGAATGTTCTGTTTATGGGAGAAGTTTAGGGTTAATCCTTACATATGTCTTTGATACATTACCAAAATATAACATTCTACAAAACGTCTATTGTAAAACATTCTATTTCTGTGTTGCAAAATATCTACAGTTTTAGGACAAAGTTCAGATCAGACGTGGTCGCCGCCATTGCCGACGTCATCATCCTCAGAGGAAGTGGTGTTGTTCATCGTCATCATAAACCTCAGTGAGTCCCCTTCTTCGATCTCCCACTGCTTCTTCAACTCGTATATCGCTCTCGAAGCCGCCTCTGCTATCGCCGGGTTACTGTCCTCCGCCAGCCTCTGCATTAAAAAAAAAACCATTTGCAAAAACCGAAGCTTTTATGGCTAACCCGTCTCGTGAATTCGGTACGTAAAAAGGGTTCTGAAGATTCTCCAGGACAAGACAGGATCGATCCGAAGGTAGTTTGATGTTCTTTTACCTGTAATGCTCCCATGCCTGCGTTTCCCAGAGTCCACATGGAAGGTGCCGCCGCTAAGGCATTAGCCAAAGCTTGTCTGCACCAGAAACAAAAACACATACTGTCAAGAATTTATCTTCAAACCAATATCGTTAATGCTTGCCCGAAGAGACGAGGAAGAAAAAACAGGTACAGAATTTGTGTCGATGGACGAAGAAGACGCGGTACCTTGTATTGTCGTCAGGAGAGCTTGAACATTCAGCCAAGAGAGAAGCACTGCTTTTTCCATCCATTGCATCGAGATCGATCAGCGTTGCAATCAACAACTCAAGCTGTTACGTAAGAAAAAGAAAACATCGATCTCAGTTTTCACTAATAAAAGTCTACGAATTTCATATGTAATGGGTTTTGAACCTCTTCGGGATCGGTATAATCGATTCCATCGGCTTCCGAGAGAGCTGATGCCATGCTCCGGTAAGCTTCCTGTCCAATGTCCAGAGGATCGATCAATGGAAAGATCATTTTTTCCATTAATTCTGTTGATTATAAGAACAGATAATGACTATAGTCGGAATCGGACCTCGATAGCTTCTATACGATCAGATGAAACTTCCCCAGGGAAAAACTCGAGAGCTCTTCCGTTCTTCTCGAGGGATATACAGTCTGTCATAGAATTACCCGATGGAACCCCTCTATCACAAAACAACATCAGTTGATTTTTGGGATTTTGATATCTATCTAAATGACAGGAAACAACATGAGACGTTCTCAGAAAGTATCGGTTCTTACAAGTTATACATTTTCCGTACCATCATGTCGTGAATATTCTTGATGAACTGGATCAACGCCAAAGAACACGATGTAAACATGGATTAGGAAGTAGAACAAGAAAGAAATCGAATCAAACATCAAAATTTACAATGAATCGGGGTTTTAGTCTCACCTCTAGAGCCATTAGGGCATCCTCCATTGCCCGTTGTTTAGCACGGAAATCTGCTCGCCTTAAATCTGCCTGGAAACGGAAGGATGATCGATCATTCCTTTGATTCCACTTCTTAACTTTTCCTAGAAGTATGCCTATGAACCCTTTTTCACTTAGTCCATCTATCAGAAATTACCATCATACAACAAACGTTCTTTCGGGTTTCGTTACTAATAATACAACATGTTTTCCAATGAAATCAAGAAGGCATTCGGCATTTCATATGTTACCTCTAAGGCTCCATCACTCCAATGCTTCTCAGCAGCGTTTTTCAATTTAGACTGAGCTTTGTTCTTCAAGATCTATGAACAAAAAAAACAGAAAAAAAATTAGAAGATCGAGTATCCCGTAAAATGTTGAGAAAGAGAGGAGAATCATACAGTAGCGATATGATGAAGACGCTCTGCCTTTCTCTTGACACCACGGTCTATTTTCTCAGTATCTTCTCTTGCCCGAGCTTCACATCAAACCCGCAAAGAAAAGGTTAAAAATCTTAGTGTAAAGGGAAAAACTGCATCTCGGAAAAAAAAAGCATGAATCAGCAACATTAAACGCATGAGAGATGGAATACCGAGATTCGAACATTTCGACAATTTCCAGAACATAACTTCAAAATTCATCAAGGTAACATTACTTCACATCAACCTAGACTTTCCATACATGATTCATCCTAAACATCTAAGCGGTCCAACCGACAAATTCACATAGACTTGCCCCTCAAATGTAAAATGATGCTTACCGTCCAGTTTAAGAAACTCTGATCCGAGAATGGCAATGTCTTGACGTGCACGAGCATCAAGCCTCACAATGCCGCTGCAGAAAAGTATCACACAAATCAACATAGCCAAACCCGAAATTCACATTTTTCCTACCTACATATGATAAAGAAGCACAGCCAAAACCTTGCAGTTCTAGAAATTAGGAGCGAACGTTGGATATGAAAGAATACCGAGAAAGAAGAACTAAGTCATTACGAGCCCTTTCGTTCACAAACTTAGCATCATTGGAAACATATTCCACCACGACCCGGCTTGAGTTGTCTGTTCTACTCGGCATTACTTGGCCCTCACCTTCACTTTCTTCAGAGCTGATACATCGCCAAGAAAAGCTTTTAACATTGAAATAAAGCAGTGTGGCCACTGATCATAGAATTTAGCTTTCATCATTTCAGATTAAAAAGTTGTTTGGGCAAATCTCAAGAGCCAAGAATCAAAGTCACCATATACCATTTCGTAGACTCTTTAGATTCTGTGTCTCGTGACTTTCCGAGAAAGCATAGAGTGGAAGATCTTCGAGAATTGGCTAAAGCAACGGGTTTTACATTAAAACCCTGTAACCCTTCAAGGTTGGATCCCGATCTAGCAACTCGAGGATGATCATTGCTTCTTTTTGGCCAAAAGGGTAATAAAACTCTAAGTGATCTTGAGGCATTTGCCCTCTTAGCCAGAATGGTACCATTTGGAACCTTGTTCACATTAAGAGCCATTCTGAAGAATCTGAACTCCTACACATACACACACATATATATATATATATATAAGCACACCATCGAATAGCAATGATTTAGCAACATAGCCAATTTGTTATGGATACTTGAACTTGTGGTCGATGTTTAGGCGAAATCAAAGGATTCCGAAGATAATAAATATTTTGATTTTGCAGAAAAGAGATGCAATTCTCAGCCGAGGTAGTAGCCTTTATCTCCAAGGGGATTGCATGTAGAATCATAATTCCTTTAAACAAACATAAGAAAACAATACATGACTTCAATTCTTGAAAAACCTAACAGGCAAAGACCGTGGCGCAACCGACAGATTACATTCTTAAAGAACCCGAACAAATAGAGAGATTGATACTTCACCGACCTCGAATTCGCGACTCCGACAGCAACCAAAATAAAATCTAAGACGAACCCACCAAGAAAAATTCCGAATTTAACAGCTACAAATCAGAAAGATAACAAACGGATACAAACGGATGCAGCCCGAGAGAGAGAGAAGGAACTAACTTGGGGGGAGAAAAAGATGAGAAAAGGAAAGAGAAAGTGGGTAAGAAATGGGTAGAGGAAGAGGACAAAAATCAAGAATTATGGATTGAAGTGAAATGGCAACCACAAGGGTTACATGCGGCCCAGTGAGAGCCAACGATACGATAAAAACCCTTATGAATACAAAAAAATCATTTTCGTGGCTTTACATTTATCTACTAACTTGACCACCCAAGTAAATTGTGTGTGTGTGAATCATCCAATCTAACTTATAATCCAACAATGACATAACCTACGGTATCCGGCTTGATCTTGTTGATAAACGACATGTCAGGATTGGGGCTGATGTGGGTCCCACGTAATCCACTGTTCCAGCGTCTGTTCGAATTTGAGTTTTGTCGACCGATGATTACCCGAGAGGACGATCCAAGACTCTCGAAACTTACGATTTGTTTCATTTGAAATCTTCGATCGAAGATCAGAAACCATGCTCTTGCCTTTCACCCATGATTCTTCAACAATTTCAGTTTGCAGTACTTTGATGTAACTTTACAAACATCAACGCCAGTTAACAATGGTCATAGCTCTGTTCTTCTGTCTTCAAGTTCACAAAAGTTCATAATCGTCCTGTTTTTTTTAATAAGAGATCAGAGATGTTATTGGGTTTCAAAATAAGAAGAGACCCATCCAAATCTGTTTCTACTAGGATTCTCTGCAATGCAATGTGGACGGAGGATTCAATGTGAACGCTGGTTTGGAGAAAGATTTCATCTTTTTCAAAAGTTTGAAATTTTAATTTTTTTTGGTAAAAAAAAGTTCGAATTTTTAGTACAATCACCCCAATGCAATTTGATTTTAACTTAGTTTCCTGATATATCAAATTGGTGTTTTCTTCTCCTCGATCATGTGTTGACGCTCGGACCTCGGTGATACAGAAGCACAGCAATGGCGTCACTTCGTCGAAACGTCTCTCTTCTCGTCTCGAAACGTTACAGAAAACGCAGCCCATTCTTCTCCTTCCTCCACACTGAAACTACTCCGAACAACGAAGAACAATTTCTCGTCGACGCCATTTCCGAATCCTTACGAAACGGCGACGACTGGGAAGCTCTATCCGAGAAGTTCTCCGCCGTGGATTTCTCCGACACCCTCGTCGAGAAAGTGCTTCTGCGGTTCAGACAGCCCGAGAACGCTAAACGCGCGTTGAGTTTCTTCCACTGGTCCGCTAAATCCTGGAACCGCCGACACGGGATCTCGTCCTACGCCGTCGCGATTCACATCCTCGTCAGAGCCTGCTTGTTCATCGACGCTCGTGCTCTGATCGAATCGGTTTTGGTGAGATCTTCACAAGGCTGTTCATCTGGCTCCCCTGTTCTTGATCCCTTGTTGGCCACGTACGAGGTTTCGTGTTCTTCTCCTCTTGTGTTTGATCTGTTGGTTCAGGGATATGCAAAGCTCCGGTTTTTGGATCTGGGTTTCGATGTTTGTCTGAAATTGGGTGATCATGGGTTCTCTCTGAGTGTGATAACATTCAATACTTTGATCCATTTCTCTCTGAAATCGGATCGAAACGATCTCGTCTGGAGAATGTACGAACGTGCGATCGAGAAACGAACTTATCCGAACGAAACAACGACTCAGATAATGATTAATGCGCTGTGCAAGGAAGGGAAGTTGAAGGAGACTGTAGATACTCTGGATAGGATACAAGGTAAGAGATGTTCTCCTCCAGTGATCGTTAACACGAGTTTGATTCTTAGGGTTTTGGAAGAGGGTAGAATCGAACAGTGCATGAGCCTGTTGAAGAGATTGTTGCAGAAGAACATGATTCTCGATACAATTGGCTATTCTCTAGTAGTATGCGCGAAGGTGAAGCTCGGAGATATGGTGTCTGCACGCAGAGTGTTCGACGAAATGCTTCACAGAGGTTTCAACCCTAATTCGTTTGTCTACACAGCTTTTATCAGAGGGTATTGCGAAAAGGGCGAAATCGATGAGGCCAACCGGATGTTTTCTGAGATGGAGGATGTGAGTTTGAGTCCGTATGGTGAAACATTCGATCTTCTCATCAAGGGTTGCTCAAGATTCGGGAGAGAAGACGAAAGCTTGAGCTACTGCGAGAAAATGATCGGTAAAGGGTTTCTTCCTAGTTGCTCGGCTTTCAACGAGCTCGTGGAGAGGCTAAGTAAGATTGAGAACGTGAAACAAGCGAACGAAATCCTAACCACATTGATCGATAAAGGGTTTGTCCCCAATGAAGCTACCTACACTCACATGATTCGAGGGTTTGCGAAAGGAGACGACTTTCAAGAAGCTCTCAAGCTGTTGTACGAAATGGAGTATCGAAATCTCTCTCCAGGTCCTAAGGTGTTGAAATCGCTCATTCTATGCCTTTGCTCGTGCGGGAAAGTAGAGGCCGGGGAAAGGTGCTTGAGAACTATGAAGGGAAGATCGATGCAGCCTGATGCGGATATATACGAGGCTTTGATCAAAGGATACCACAAAATCGGCGATAAAAGGAATGCGAGTAGAATTTATGATGAGATGGTGTCTAACCCATGATTCAAACCAACGGGTTTGTGTTTTTTTTTGGGGGGCGAACTCATACATCCACCTTGTGTATTACTCAGGTAGATTGCCATTGAAGTATAGTCATACATCATAAAACAGTATGATCGAGGGTGAGATTATTGCCGATCTTTCGAGAGGAAGAAGAAGAAGCTTTTAGCAAGAAACACAAGTTTATGCAGAGGTTTGCGTCTACATGTAATCCAATAAAAGGAATTATAAAATCTACAATTAATTGATCAAGTGTTTTTATATATATATATATATATTTGTTTGGGGAACCTGCTGTCCGGTCGGACCCCGCAACGCCTTACAGCCCAATGGACCGGACGGAAACGACATTGCGGACAGTAAATCTCCACTTCTACGTGCACGAACTTGCGACACATACGTAAAAGGTAAATTAGCCGTAACTGACAGGTGACATGTGAATGGTAAGGAGTCGAACTCCTAACCTTTCGATATGTTGAACATGTTGTTGTTTACCAACTCACGTGGGAGTTTTCCCTAAATGATCGAGTGTTATTTCACAAACCACACAATACCAATGATGAGTCATATTATCAACAACTTAAAACCTGTTTTGAGGTTCGTAAAGAAATCCATTTTGAAGTGTGGATAGGAAATTTAAAATGTTCCAAATGTAGTTTCAAAGGCTCTAAAGGAATTTAACTTTGCTGATAATACGATCCATCTTCTAGAATGCCAAAAATCATTTTACGTGGCTTTAAACTTTTTACCGACACTGTAATCCTATCATCACTTCACATGTAACCAAATTAATTGATGAAAATGACGGTAAAAAAAAAAATGTAAGAGGGGAGAGGGGGTGCTACTCTTACTCCCCACCACCATGTGTCACATGAAAAGGCATGTTGGAGTTGTTTTGGCTAGACAATTCCTTCAATGGCCTTTAAAGGACCCTCCCCTTTATTCCCATTTTGTAAGTAAATAAATAAATAAATAGAAAAATAGAAAATGGTTTATTCACAACAAAAATTGTGCAAAAGGACCCCTTGTGTTTGGGGGACCAAATGGGATTTTGATCAATTGATTCCTTCTTGTTGGGACCAGATAACAAAAGAACGTGACATGATTTGATTATATTCAACCCAAACTGCTTTTATTTTGTGTTTTTTGATTCATTGCATGGGGATGGTTTCATAAATTAAAATAGCAATGTAAATTTTACATTGAAACACTTAATTGCATGTTTGTTTTTCATATATACACACACATATACAACCCAAGATCTGAATATATATTTCCTTAATCCGTAAAAGAAACTACATTGAGATGGAAATATCATGGCATGGATCATAACATGCATTTGTACTATATAGCCATTAGTATATATGAAAACGTTTATGGTAGATATTGTTCACGTTACACTCTACATACATACATAGTTACATACATACATATATATATAGTGTGTATATTTAAAATCCGAATTCTCTCCAATCATAGATTGGTGAGTCATCGTTGCTACTATTACCATTTCATCTCAAAAGCGATGCCACTCCGAGATGGGGAAAATGACATGGAACGTTAAGTCACATGGGACGAGATTTAGGGTCTAGTCCCCACATCAACATGAATACATGCGTCACATATATATACACACATATATATATATATATATATGTGTGTGTGTTAAGCATTAATCATTCATTGTATTGTGGACCTCATACACTTGGAGGGTGATTTCGGGAATTTCGTCTCCATGTTTTCCTTTCCCGAATCGGCAAAGGAATTATTGGTCCGGTTTTGGCCTACCAAAACTGTTCAACCACTTGAATTCATTCTTAGTACTAACAACGTCCACCACTTCACTTTTACATTTGCTCAGTCAATTCATTTTCCCCGTAATCAAATATATGAATACATGAACCCTTTTTTTTATATATATAAAATGATTCTCTATGAATCCAATCTCTTGTAACAGTAGATTCAATTACGTATAGTATATATATGAATATACCGTTCCATCCTCAAATTGCCGGCCGGTAGGTTTCCATGCATCATGCACATGGGTTTGGATGACACTTTTAAAAATTTGTGGCCCCCTGTGTAAAAGTTTGTTAATCAAAAGCTGAAATATTATAGTGAACTTCCATGAGAATTATACTCATGAACTTCCATGAGAATTATACTCATCCATTTGATATTCATAAATTCCTATAAATCCACTGCATATAATTATATATCCCCAACATTATATATGTGCCATCTAAAGTAACAAATTAAATTAGAGTTCATCGATTTTAACGTTATAACGTATAGTATTTTTTGTTAACAAGAATATTCATGTCCAATTAATTTTGTAATCAATTAATGCATGTATATAAGATATCTTGAACGAACTATATATTAATGGTCAAAGAGATCACATTTATGCATCATATATTCGTACGTTGAGATTTGATCTTTGATCTAAATCAATACGCCCAATATTCGTTGAGGTTTTTGTGAATTTTCATGACATTCCAAATCCAATCATATCAGAGTGAAAAATGAATAAAAGGTCAAAAACCCTAATTTAAAAAGATAAATAGTGTTGGACGACATTAGGAAACAATGGACCCTACGCTCAGAAACAAGAATCCATGTAACGTGGCATTGTCGTGCGTCTATTTCTAATTATATTACCTTTTCTTTTACAATTAAGCATGTAGCCGATCTCTTCCATTAAATAAAACTTGCTCGTGCATATATATATATATATATATATATATATATATATATATATATATAT